ATCATGATTCCGAAATCATCCGATACACTAGACTCCATGATAGCAAGGGAATTGGAAAAAAAATGCCCTGCAAGGAAGGAGGAGATCACCTGGGAAACCGCCCTAAGGAGGTCCCCCGGAATCTAGATACTTTCGCAAAATAGTTAAAAAAAATTAGGAAATCACAATGTGGCCTCGAAACCAGGATCTGGAGTTGACCCGTCCGGCACCCCATCCTCGGAGTTCCGATAGACGTGGTGCGGGGTTAGGGAAAACCCACATATTACATATTCTTAGCAAGGTAGCCTGGCATGGGCGCCTGTCGCTCAGCTTTAAGCCTTCTGGATGAGGCGAGTGCGGTACGGTACGGCGCAGCCTATTCGGGCATCGCGAGATTCCCGAGCTCCGAAGATTGACAGGGTTTTTTCTGTCCATTTGGTCGGGATCCGTTTGTGGCACCTACGGTACCGGTATGATCTCTTCTCTGCGGTGCAGGGGTCTCGCGGTGCAGGAAGAACCTAAAGGGTTGTATGAAAATCTATTTTCGACACAGCCACTGCATCGTCACACAGTGCTCCCGTCACGCGACTCCCACAGTTTCCACCAGCTTTTGACGCCCCCTGGCTTCCAGTGCTGTTGTTGCCCTCTTTCGCTCCCGCTTGCCTTTCTATCAGCAGTACTGAAGGCGAGCACAATCCACCAGAAGCCCCGGAAAATGTGCCCCCGAAAACGCCACCCAACCCAGGCCGCTTGATCATTGGCGCAGGAAAAGTATGGATTAGGGAGAGGCAAAAGTATTGCATTAAATGGCGAGAACCGATAGGGGCTCGCATGCCCCAACGAAATTTTTGCCCTTACTCCTATCTCGAAATCGAGATAGAACGCCAAAGTCTAACCCCTTTGACTAGGACTAAATTAAGCCCTCTGGGGCGTTCAAGTTGACGCAATTGTAGTTTTCGCCCCGGCCGAACGTTTGGACTTTTACGGATTTTGTATGATATGAGCGTACGGATGTGCTCTGGCTGTAGCGCATACTGAGTCCCCCCCCCCCGCTCTGTCCCTGGAGTATTTCTGAATATTCCCTGAATTATCCCTATTTTCCTACTAAATGTTCGGGTACGAGTACTTGTTGCCTGCAGCAGGTATCCCAAAGCACTCGTAAGAGTGTCCGCCGGGCTCTCGCCAGTTAATGCAGTACCGTACTATCCAGTGCAAAAGACAGAGCCTTCCAAGCACCCCCCCGGCGGAACATGCCTTTTTTTCCCCACCTCACCTCCACATACAATAATTATCCGATGCATCCAGGAGTGGGGAAACGTCCAGGAGGGGACACGAGGTTAAAAAGAGAACTCTCGTCATTCTTGCGGCTATGTTCATTCAGGGAGGTAGGGCAGTGTGTCGTTCGGGTATGGGCGAGATCTTACCCGCAGAGTCTGTGACGGGCGATACGGTAGTTATTTTTGGCGCTTATATTGTTACACAGCGCTTGCAACAACTGTGGAAAACCTAGTCGGGCGTGCCTTTTATGGTTCAGGGCACTACAAATCAGCACTTGTGCTGGTGCGGGTCGCTTATTACATTAAGTAGGCGATCATTTCGTAATCCAGTCGTGGGCGCTTCTTGGCTTCCCAATCGGGAAAAACTATGCCCAAGCATCATAAAAAGTACTCGTATTGTGCTGATATTTGTACCGGTACTACTGGAAAATCCGTTGCGGTTAGACCCGCCACCGCTAATTTCCTCGGCTCCCCATGCTAACTTAGAATAAAGCCTAGCTCCTACAGTAGTACCCAAGTTGTTATCTTCAAAACCCCTCCCGCAAATCTCTGGAGAGTCTCAAACCCAACATGCACCCAGAATATTTCAATCGTGGAGGTTGTGGAGGTTCAGTTACAATGGTTTGACGCCGGTGATATTCCGGGCCGACTAAGGGGTTGACCTGCAGTGCCCGGAATCACCCCTTAATGGAATGCAAATTAATACCGTACAGTGCTCTGTACTAGTACTCGTGCCATCTCCGGCCAAGATCTCCTTGCGGTGCCTATTTCCCGCGGGCCCTGGCAGCGCCAGAATCTCGATGTTCGGACAGACCTTAAAGCCACCAATCAGCTCACGATAACCTGAAACTTCGCTCAACGCACGCTCGCTGTGTTTGAGGGAGGTTCAGGCAATCATGGCAGCTTGCATGGTAGCACGGCACTTGCATTACTGTACTTGTACTCCAGTACAAGCAGTACCGTATAATATAATTCTTGGCTAAGGGAAGTGCGAATTTGTGGAACGAAAGCTTCGTTTTTTGAAAGCCCGCAAGGTGTTGGCACGTCACAGTTGGCCCCCCACTCGAGTATGATACTGACTGCTCGATTGATTGCCGAGTAACATTGCCCCTCCATCGTCCCACATCCGAGTCCCCAATGATAAGGTGCCATAGAGTGGATACTGAGCGCGATACCCAGGAGACCACTAGTTCTACCGCTGGTAGTATGTTGCAGGGGAAATGACCCGTCCGGGTTTCCCGACTGGTGTCTTCCGAAAGTGTCACCGGGCGATTGTATAAACCGGTATCCTAAAGGGAATATTATGAGGGAAGCCGAGTGATATATAATGAACAGAACCCGGTTGCAGATTCTCGTTAGGTCAAGATCTAAACTAGCTATGATAGGCGATAGTAGTGCGGTATCATAGATAAATACCGGTACTCGTATCATACCGGTACTCCGATTCAGGGGTTCTTTTTCTTTCCAGAGTCAAAAGGGCGCGGGGTCGCATCTGGCTCTAATATTAGTAATGCGTGCCTACAGGGATCAAACCGCCTCCCGGTGAGCGAGAGGCTGTGAGCGGGTCGGAAACGGGCCCCTGTGGATGCACCAGCCCACGTACTAGCATGGTGCCGTAGTGCTATTGAGAGAATCGAGCTACCAGCACCGGTACGAGTAGAGGCTTGATACTGTATCATACAAGCAGACCTATTCTCCCTGCACCCGAGAATAGGGAAAAAGTTTGTTAAATCCTAAAAGTAGAGAGAGAGAGAGAGAGAGAGAGAGAGAAACGCCCTTTACTTGTGTTGTGTGAGTAATTCCATAGTCTACCATACCTTACGCGTGTGGGCTCATTACGACTGGTATCTGTTGCGCGGGTAGGATCAGTTGGGGGTGCTGTTCATCCATTCAACCCACTCACCCAGAAGTACCGTATCTTTAAGGTGGCAGGGTTCAATCTTTCAACGAATATCCTGTACTCGAGTAGCACAATGACCGTACGGGTCCTTGCACTTGGGCACTTTTGTCACTGTAATGTGTTTCTGTCGCCGACCGGAATTGCATACCGGTAAGCATCTTGGCTGATGGACAGATGGTGTGAGGCCCCTTATGGAGGTCTTAGGGGACATAATCCTCCCCCCCAAATGGTTTTGACGGGCACAGCATCTTTCCGACCACTGTTGTTGCATGGTATGGCTAGTCCCACACCCCAGCACTAAAACCGGACCCTCACCCTGCATCGATTATATTTGGGTACAATTATGTCCTCAGCCCCGCCCTGCCGCTGATTGTTATTCTGTGGAGTTAGAAGTCTGATGGAGAGAGGCTGAGAAATTGAGGATGCACTGGGGGTGTGAATGCAGCCTCATCAGGAGAGAGCAGTACCGGTACCGGTGATGGGAGACGCTTTTGTGCGAGACAGGTATGGTTAACCAGCAAAATAAAGCTTGCCCCCCTGCAAAAACGATTCCCGTGGCACGAGTGGGTGCACGAGCACAGCACGTTGAAATAAGAAGTGGCCGCGGTGGAGCCCGCGCTCGCGTCGGCAAAGCCCTCGTAAAGTCAAATCCTTTATGGAAATTGCTGTTACCGGATTAAAAAAGATCTCTCAAGCGAGAGTTCTCCCCGTCTTGCTATATTGGGCCGGACTCGACGGGGTACCTGAGGTCTTAAGAGAACTTTGCGGGCGCGAGCATACTTGTACTGTACTCGTACGCTTGGGCTTGGTCGTGCTATGGAGTGAGAAGTAGCGATACAACCAGGCACCGAATCCTGTGCTATTATAGTAGTGAGTGCGTATGGGCTGCTGGCCCCTCCCCCACCGAGCTCAAGTACGTACTTTTTCCCTTGAGATATCATACCAATTCCCGAGCTGGGGGAGGCTCAAAAAGTCACGGGGCTTTGGCGCTTCCGTATGATATTTAGGCAAAGTTTTAATGAGTCGGGGATGGTAAGCCCTACGGTAGTGCTCCTGCATGGTCGCGCAAGTTTTGTACAGTACTCGTGTGATACTGCTATAGAGTAGGCTCAGTACCGTAGGGTACCTTACCGGTACTCGAGTACTCTATCACATTCGGGTAATAAGGCCCTACTTGTAATACCGACCAGTCTGTCGGTTCAATAATCTGATACCTGGATCGGTAGAAGACGGTACCGTACTGTGGATGGAACGTTTCAATTAATCTCTACACGCGAGTCTAAGTAAGTACCCACAGCTGCCATACTTGGGGCAGCACAAGAAATGGTACCGGTACGGTACCAGTACATATCACCATCTTGGTGTATTGGAGATTTCGGCCATCCGTGCAGGGGGTAAAATTTGAAGGAGAAGGGAGGGGGAGGAGCTTCCGCATTTTGTTAAAACCTACTTCAAACCTGATACCTGTTACCGTACAAGTAACGAACCAACCCGTGCTGATCACGGCTACCCCCAGGAACATCTGTTGGTCTAGCTCCTGCTCAATTCCACTTTCTCCCCTTTCACTTCATAATACTCGAACAGCCCACCTGCAGTACCGTATTCGAGTACCGGTACCGGAACTCTCTGAGACGCTACCGGTACAAGTATGTGGGCAGTGGCGGAAGTTGACACGATGTCCCAAACCTACTGAGTCAAACAATCAAGGATTAGCGCTGGCGTTTAGTCCTGTGATTGTGATATGGTAGCCATCAGCGAACCAGCTTCCGATTCCCAGCGCCACCCTGGATGAATAAGCTACTTTTGCAGATACTGCATTATGGTATCCTCAACAGCAAATCACCACAGCACTTCCAACTATTGATGGAAGTTGGGAGGGGAAAGCAAGGCTTAGCACGGGTCAAGGCATACCCCTACCCTCACTGCCTCGCTGTACGAGTACAGTACGTTCCAGGGAAATTTTCTGGTCGGGCACCTACTCTATTGTGCCCAACGGCTCAGGAGGACATTTCTTTCTTCCTTTTCTTCCCACTCCTCCTTCCGGGCCTCAAATTTTGCTTGTCATCTCTGGCTTTTCCTTGTTCTTTTCCCCCTTGCCTTTGCGTATCCTACTTGCTTTCTTTCTTCCTTCTATTTATCCTCCTTGGGGCGTTGGTTGGTGAGACCCGGCTAGTTAGCGAGCGGGCGAGTGAGCTACAGTGGTGAGGAGCAAACGAGTGAGTCGGGAATGATTGGGTACAGTGCGGGAAACGAGAAGTCTAATACTGCGATCTCTCATCAGTAGTAGTATCCCTTTATACGATGGCACGATATCCTTCATTGGTAGCGGGATCGCTGTTGTGGCTTTCCGCGTTGAGTCGTTTATCGGTTTCTCAGTCCACATGGACGCTGGATCCTCAGAAACACCTTGCCCAGATGGCCAATCATATGTGTCCGTGTTCCCCGCTCCAGCCCTTGTTCCTAAAACCATCAATTATTCATTGTGAGCTTTTCTGACAAGTTATTCACGGTTCGACAGCGGCCGCGGTCAACACTACTATATACACCGTCGGAGGAACAGCCTACTACTGGACTCCAAAATCTACTCCCGGTTCGGTGCGCTCTAGCAACAATGATTCCGTCTATATCCTAAAAACAAGTAGTGAGTTGTCCTCCCTCACCCCGAAATCCGGATCGTGTGGGGATTGTGTTTCTATTGTTATTATTTCATGTATTAACAAGCAAGCTTCCGCAGATTCATACCTACGTGCCCTCGACCTCTCCGGGCCCGTGGACTTCAGAGCCGAATTCTCAGACACGACGGAGGTGATCTCCGAGCTCCCCTTCGAAATCCCACATGTAAAGCGTGGCGCAATCTGGGCGGACCAGGACACAATATACTTCTGGGGTGGAGAACTAGAGGTGGAACCCGTATTCATGGACGGGGACTTCCAGAATAAGACGAGGGAGTGGCCGGACCCGATGAAGTACTACACTTATGACCTCACCCAGCCGAAGGGGTCCGGGACGTGGAAAACCGTCTCCATCTCGACGAGGGAGGGGTCGGATAAGCTGACCACTTCCCAGTCTTACGGCGAATATACTTACTCTCCCGAGGCAAGGAAGGGGTTCTACCTTGGGGGGGTTATGGCCAGGCCCCAGTTGAAGAATAAGGACGGGTCGAACGCGACTAAGGCTGGGTCCCCTTGGTACCCTGTGAGTGCAATGCTCGTGTTCGATGCTGCGGCGAATGTGTGGAAGAATGAGACCACTACGCAGGGGTTGACTGAATTGCGGGAAGGGGCTATGGCGTATGTTCCGGGTGTTGGGGAGAAGGGTATATTGGTTAGAATGGGAGGGGTTAATAGGGAGGATGAGTTTGTGGGTGTTCCACCAATTCTCCATCACATTCATCTAGGACTTTGTATATATATATACGGCAGTTCACCCGGGGGAAGGAAGAATTTCGCTAACTTACGTATCTCCTTCGCGCAGATCGGCTTCGACGCCGTCTTCGTCTACGACATCGCCACCAAAGTCTGGTACCGCCAATCAACTACCTCCAAAACAAACATCTACCCGGAAGATCGCTGGGGAGTGTTCTGTGCCGCGGCCGTTGTGGCGCCGGACAAGACCAGCTTCACAATCTACGTCTATGGGGGATACAAAGGCAGTGGCCATGTAAAGGGTACTTGGGCCCTGACAATGCCCTACTTCCAATGGATCCCTCTGGACTCCTCCGGCGAGCCGGAGCTCGGACGCTCGGGTACAACGTGCCAGACTGTCGGCGGACAGCTCGCTCTGGTCCGCGGTCGCGCCAAGGAAATAGAACGGGGCGATCCAAATGGTGGGACGTACTTCTATGATATGACGAATCTTACTTGGTCCCTTGAGTATCAGCCCTCAGAGTATCAGGTGCCAAAGACCATCTACGATATTATCGGTGGGAAGTACGTTTCTCCTCCCTTCCCTTTCGCACCATTTCCTACGCTGTGTATGGTGAGAACTAACAATTACAAAAAGTGAGCAAGGCGGCGCCACTATCAGGGGTCCAGTAGACGACAAAAGCTTTGCGGGAGGCTTGGGTAAGCTCTTCGCCGCAGCAAATATCACCGATTCTCGAGACCCAAACACCACGAACCCTGGCGGCGGCGGCGGCGGCGGCGGTGAAAGTCCCACACCAACCGGCGCAATTGCCGGTGGTGTCGTTGGTGGAGTTGCGGGTCTTGCGGCTGTCGGCGCGGGTATCTGGATGTTCATGCGCTGCCGTCGTCTTAGAAGTGCGGATGTGGCCATGGAAGGCGGGGCTATGGTTGGAAACCAGGAGAGCTCACTCATGGGAATGCACAAGCACCCCCTCGAACAAAATCATGAGGGGAACCCGCCCGGGAGGTATGAGATGGATAGTGTGCCTATAACACAGCCGGTACATGAACTAGATAATACGGGGGTGCCGGGAGGGGCAAGTAAATAGAGAGTCCCAGAGGGAAAGAAATGAATGAGTGGGGAGTGGGAGGAACCAGGATATTTTTCAATTAACCCTATAATCGGCGTTATCCGTCTGCCCCCCCCCCCTCTCTTTCTCTTTTTTTTCTTCTTCTTTGCTTTTAGCCCTCCATTTCTACAGTCCAGACATTGTACTTGTATTATAACATTAGGCGTTTTAGTGCTGTTATTTCTTTCCTCCAAAAATTCTGTTCATAAACAAACGAATCTTTCCGTTACTTGTAACAAGTTTAGTTACCTGTCCGAGTGCTGTACGGTGTAGTATGAATCCCCATGACGGAAAACCCAACCAAACTATCGCCTTTCCCTTACGTACCGGTATTGTACGAGTACCGTATCGTAGTAGTACTCGTACTAGTACTCGAGTACAATAGCCATCCCTCAGTCCGACCGTTATCCCGCCCCCAGGACTGCCGTATCATAATAAGCTTAAATGTTGGCTGCAGTCTCTGGAGGGATTTCAGCCGCAGTCTCACCTGTACCCAATCTGAAACAGTAAGAGAGCAGGGCAGAGCGGAGCGGGATCCACCACGATCGATACGAGTACCTGTACGAGTATCCTATGCATCACTAATCAGAGTCGGGATGAAAGAGAGCCGACGGGGGGGACGGCGACACCGACAGAAAGTGAGAGAGTTGTCCCGCGTTTCGACGTCTAGAGGCACAAATTATGGAGTCGCAGCATCTACTTTTGATGCCTGTAAATTACCGGTATGATCGTCGAAACGGTGACTGGTGGGTTGGGTCATCAATTTAGATATTGGACACTATAGTGCCGGTACGAGTAGTACAGTATTAAACGTGGCAGCGAATTATTTGGAATATAAGAACCCTGTAGAAGGGAGGGTTGGGGAATAAGGGAGGAGGTTGGATGAAAGGGGCAAGGACCCGCGGTATCCTTCAGTATGGCACTGTGCCGATAGGAGAGCACAAAGTTGCTGAGCTATGCCACCATTACAGGCCTTGAGGTATGGTATGGTATTGGTAGGAGTGTTCGACCAACTATCCTAAATCCGAATTTCGAGGGGCAATCAATACTGAAACAAGACATGGCAAGACAGGAGAACTACCAATGAGCCAACTTTTTGTCAAAAAGGAAAAAGAAGAAAAAGAGTGCAGACATCGCTGAATAATGTACGGGTGAATGATGGAGTAACAACAGCATAATTCCCCCAAGACAAGATGAGGGTTACAAAAGGAGAGAAGAACAACGACAACGTCAGGGAATCCATTGAGAAAGGTGTGATTTTAAAAGGTACTCCCAGCAAGTCTGCTCGCAGCATTCTTCGCATCCAACCTATCCTCGTCACCCATTCCCTCCTCCTCTTCTTTTATAGAACCAGGAACAGGAGTTGTAATCGCCGCACCCCCGTTCAAGATTTCCACTCCGCGATTCACGCCAGAAACCCTCTGCACACCGCTCCAAGCATCCCCCCGAGGCCCCTGACTCGTCGCTAAGCTCGCTCTCCGACTGGCCGGCGGCGCATCACGACCTAACCTACTAAGTCCGCCGGACTGATCAATGGCTCTAACATCTGGTCTGACAGATTCGAGAGTGGCAAGCGTTCTACGCTCCGCTTCAATCTGGCGGGAGCAGTAATCGCGTATCGAGTTTCGGAGGTCTTTGCTCGTTCTGGCGAACCATTTCCTACGTTCCCGGACAAGGTTGTCTGTTACCCTTTTGACCTTCTGGCCTAGGTGGGTTTCGTTGCTTTTCGCCTCTTCGAGCGCTGCCAATGCTTCATCGACTCTATCACGCTTTATTGCGCTCTTGCCTTTGAGTAGCTCCATTGTTTGGAATTTGCTACGAGTGTCCTTTCTGGCGGACTCGAGCTCTCGCATGAGGATTTGGCGGTTTGTAAGCGTCTCTTTAACGATGAACGCATCCGCAGAATGATATGTCAGAGGATCGCCTAAAGTTGTTGCTTCAGATGTGGCTTGAGCCGCGTGAAAATCTCCCACGGATTGGATGATCTTGCCGAGTTTACGGAAGGCGTTTGCCATGCCCTGGTGTGCCTCAGATTGTGAAATTGCCAACAAACGGGCACCGAAATCCGATTCGGCAAGACCAACACCTAAAGATTGTCAACCACGTGCATCCGTAGCGATCGGCAGTAATTGTGATGTACCTCTCCGGCTCTTAACCATACGATCAACCTTCTGCCCAGTCTCCATAGTGCCCAGATAGAAAGCCTTAACGACAGGCCTTGCTGTCTCGAGCTCCGGGGTGTCATCCGGAGGCGGAGCAAACTGCTTGATAACCCTCCGTCGAACGCCTGTAGCGGGCTGCTTTCTCCTGATTACGGGACTATATCCAAAGTCGCTCTCGACAAAGAAAACCATCTCTTCATCACGCATAAGAACGTCGTTTGAACACACGGTGTTGAGCCACCGTTGCATAGTCGCACGGACGCGGGTTTCATCTTCGTCTGTTCCAACGCCCGCCGAAGTAGATTGCGGTGGGACGGCAGGCACAAAACATTCAGGGTTACTAGACAAGAGATGGTTTGCGAGCTTCTGAAACTCCGGGTGTGTACGCCGAACATCACGAAATTGCGTAGTGCGGAATTTGGGAAGGTTTGTCTACCATAGTTGTCAGGGCAGCCTTTGTTATATCGATAAATCTCGGGTAAACGTACGTGCACATCAAATCTTAGGATGGGATCTTTCCTTCCGGTCCTTTCAAGAGCTAATATCTTGGCTTGTAGCTTGTATTGTGGAACCCGTCCCTGCTGCTGGCCCCGGAGGTTCCCCTGGCCTTGAGCTTCAGGTCTCTGATTGTGTTCCCCGCCTTGTTGCTCTTGCTGGTGCTGCTGCTGCTGGTCCGGATGGGCTGGCGTTTTGGGGCTCTCGACTGGACTATCGTCGCCAACAAGTCCCGGACTCCTAAATCCACCATCATCATCCTGAAATCCGGGCGTAATCGGGGTTTGACTGGCGAATCCCGGGTGGTCTAGGTCGTCGGAAGTTGACTGTCGGATATGAGGAGAATAAGGTGTGGCAAATCCAGGACTCTCTATAGGATCATCACTGATGAGAGTTGTGGAGGACTCGGATCGAGTTTGCGGGGGGCGGTGTTGGGCAAAAGGCTGCTCGGTAGGGTCACCGAAAAGACCCGGCTCTGAGCCAAAACCTGAAGAATAATCCATTGGCCGGTGGTGTTGGAAGCGGCGACAAAAGCCTTTGAATTGAAGAGCTGTCGTTGAGTCGAGAATGACACTAGGAATGACACTAGGGTATTATTGGTGGGGGGGGACGACGTTCCTGGAATAGCGCCTCCTCCATGCTGAGAAGCACGCGTGACAGCACGCACTGTTCAGCACGTTCTACTCATTCACGATACTGGGCGCCTCGCAAGTACCGGTATGATGTCTTCCGTAACTTGATGAAGTCAATTATTCTGCTCACATATTTGAGCATACAAGCGAACAGTCGTCGCGACCACCACTATCATACTTGAGCATCCCTTTTTAAAAATCTGATAAGCCCCGTTTTACCCGTTTTAGAAACAATGCCGGAACCCTACCGGAAAACAGACGCCATTAATTATCTTTTACCCTATCATGCCTCGTTGGATCCTGAAATACCTGTACAGTACTCTACGGGTGTAACGTGCGAGCATTTGTGTTGCAAGATCCTTAGCAGGTTAGGGCCTCAGCCCTGGTTTTTGGGTAAATCGCAATACCGTTAAAAAAAAAAGTAAAAAAAAAAACAAACGACAGGAAAGGAAGCAAAACTTGTCTCCTCGAGTAACTTTAAAGTGCATTTCTCCGCCCGGAGCCCAAAAGTGGTATGATGTAATCCCGCGGTGCAAATTGCTCCTCACGATACCGGTATTCACCTCGCAACGGAGCAAACAGCCAACCAATTGAGATGCTTCCCCCTGTCCGAACGGCCTCAACTATTCGCTGGCTGTGTCTTTCCCACTCTAGGATTGCATCGCCCCTGGGAAGGTCGATATTGTCGCTAAAAAATGGTCCGAAAAGATTTTACGCTGCCCCATCAGCAGTTGGTTTGGATGCTCCAGTAGATCTAGCGCACACCAGAAATATCGGGATTATCGCACATATAGATGCTGTATGATATATATCCCTTCCTTATCAATCGTAGCGACTGTGGTCTAAACGAAACAAAACCTAGGGCAAAACAACCACCACTGAGCGCATGCTCTATTATAGTGGTTTTACTCGCCGGATTGGTGGTATGAAGCTAGAGGAACACCCGGTTATGAGCACAATCGAACTAATTCTACGTAGAAGTTGATGAAGGTTCCACGGTTATGGACTATCTTCCCGCCGAGCGATCTCGTGGAATAACCATTACTTCCGCTGCAATTACTTTCAATTGGACGCCTTCCGCCCCGGGATCTCGACCATATACGGTTAACTTGATCGACACTCCGGGGCACGCAGACTTCACTTTCGAAGTTGAGCGCTCAATTCGTGTTCTGGATGGTGCTGTGACTATTCTGGACGGCGTCGCCGGTGTTGAGGCACAGACAGAGAAGGTCTGGCGCCAAGCGGAAAAGTATGGCATCCCGAGACTTATCTTCGTGAATAAACTTGACAGGGTAGGGGCAAGGTTTGGCCCGACTGTGAAAGAAATTGCTTCGAAATTGAATGCATGGCCAGCAGTCTTGCAATTGCCTCTATATGAACAAGACGCAAAGGGTGACGATATATTTCGAGGGGTGGTGGATATTGTGGAGAGGAGAGTCTTTTTATGGGACCTGGGGGGTGACGGTCAGAAGGTCAACGTGCACGACTACACCTGGCTCAAGGAGAACAGGTCAGACTTATATTGTGAAGCCTTGACAGCAAGAGTCGCGCTGGTTGAGTTATTGTCAGAGAATGACGAGGAGCTAGTAGAAGTCTTCCTAGATATCGGGGACCACCACGCCATTTCCCCAGATGCCATCAAGAAATCTTTGCGGAAACAGACACTTAACGGTTCAAGCGAAGTGGTTCCCGTATTGTGTGGGGCTAGCTTCAAAAATATCGGCGTGCAACCGCTGCTGGATGCTGTGATCGATTATCTTCCTTCTCCGCTCGACAAGCCAGAAACCGAGATTTCTTACGATTACGGGAAGACTAAGGGGGTTCTGAGTGCATCTGAAGACAGACTATGTGCCTTAGCTTTTAAAGTCGTCAACGATCCAAAACGGGGGGCGATGGTATTCGTCCGAGTATATTCTGGAACCCTTGTTCGCGCACATCACCTTTATAACACCACTCTTGGTGTCAGGGAGCGGGTGCACAGGCTCCTGAAAATGTACGCAGACGATGCAGTCGACATTCAATCTATTCCTGCTGGACATATCGGGGTGATCATAGGTCTCAAGAGCGCTCGAACCGGCGATACCTTGATATCAGACCACCAGTACTATCATTCTGGCAAAGGGAATAAGCGCCACCAGGAAGTTTCTGATTCCTTCTGGACTATCCAACTTCGCCCGATCGAAGTTCCTCCGCCTGTATTCTTTGCAAGCATCGAACCAAATTCCCTTTCTGAGCAAAAGCCACTCGAGGACGCACTATCCATGCTTCTTCGTGAAGACCCTAGTCTGCACATAACCACTGATGAAGACTCCGGGCAAATGCTTATTTCTGGAATGGGGGAGCTGCATCTCGAAATCGCAAGAGATCGACTAGTTGGTGAGCTCAAGGCCAAGGCAGAAATGGGGCGTATCCTTATCTCCTACCGCGAAACGATACCCTCAACCTTAGGACACGAGCTTCATATCGTTTTCGAAAAAGAGATTGCTGGAAAGCTTGCCAAGGCAGGATGCCATGTTTCCGTAATTGGCCTAGACGAGCCCCCAATTCCAGGCACGGGAACACCCGATGAGACTATAGTTGATGGAAACATTATATCTGTTGATATTGCTGTGCCTCAGCATACACTAACTAGCCAGGAGGCCGAAACGGAGCATGCAAAATTGCCAAAGTCAATCGATGTTGAAGAACTCAAAGGTTCCCTCACTTCTGGAGCAATGGCAGCGCTTGGAAGGGGACCCTATCTCGGATTCCCAGTGCGGAATACCTCCATTAAGATCACGATAGATCCTTCCAAAGATTACTTTGGAGCTGAAAGCACCCTTGCAGCGTACTCGTCCGCAGCACGCTTAGCATCCACGACGGCTTTAAAAGAAGCAATTGCGTCAAACGGAGAAGGAATTTTGATGGAGCCAATGATGAACGTCATTGTGGCAGTCAACGAGAAGGATCTTGGAAAAGTAGTTGGCGATCTCTCTTCTGCAAGAGGAGGACACGTCTTGGAGCTTGGTGGCGGAGACGAAGGAGCAGTTGACAGACTGAATACCTCAAAAGTTTACGCACCTGGCCAAGCTGGAAAGGGGGATGATAATTATGGAGTAAGAGGGAAGCGGTCGGTGGTAGCGATAGTTCCACTGAAGGAGATGGTGGGTTACTTGAAGCATTTAAGGAGTATGACGACTGGAAGGGGTACATTTGTAATGAATCTTCTCGGATGGGAGAGAATGACACGGCCAAGAGCAGTAGACGTGCTTAAGGATATCAGAGGCGGATAGCCCCCCCCGGACAGACTTGCACACGCCAGTATTTAGATATTGGTCCCATATAGTATCTTGCCGCGGTTTTTCGTATCCCAAAGTTTACCCTTTGCTCAGGGGAAACCAAATACCAAAAAGAGCCTACTTGTACCAATCAAGATTAAGAGTGACGGTTTTCAACAAGACGAGTGAGAATATATGAATATGCGTGAATGCTAATTGTCATTGGTCGTCGTTCGCCATCGTTCTACAGGTAGCGATACTACGTGCTATAGTATCGGGGATAGGCTCCTGACAGGTTATGGGCGGTGTCGTTTTTCTCGGACGGAGGACGTATTACTTGTTCCCATGTCATGATTTCTTTAACTTAAAGTGTGTGAAGCTGCTCGCGGAACTTCTGCCACAAATAGACGTGCTAACCAAGGTTGAGATTACCATTGTGCCACAGAATGTGCGAGGAGTGAAACGCCCAGCCCTACCCACATATCCCAACGTTAGGCTACGGTATTTGCCAGTGTCTTAACGGTGCGGCATATTTAGTGAGCACGGTTTGGAAGCGACGAATGGATGGCCTTACGATACATGTCACAATTCGCGAGGGGTATGCGGTAAGATTTGATACAACATCATAGGATGCTCCTTCTGTGGAGCCGAGTGTTCTCTATGGGACCAAGTGGCTTTGATAACATGGTACGGTAGTGATGCTGGGGTGCATAAACTGTACTCGTACTCGTACAGTACGGTACTAGTACATCTGATGCCAGCCACTGCGCTGAGGGTGTGAAGTGCACTAGCATAGCACCGGTACAGTACGGTACAGTAGGGAGGTTCAAAGCTCTCGGCACACGGAAGGTATAGGTGTTTTGGGAGAGGTGTATTTTTTTTTGGAAATTACGGTACACAGCAAACCCCCTCGGGAGGGGGTATGCGGCATACCAGTACAGAGGTACGAGCATTTTATTCAAGTAGTACCAGTACACCTGTATTTGCGGGGTATACTGTGCACTCGGTCCGCAGCGTACTGAGAGCTCTGAACCTCCCTAGTACGGTGCGGATCACAGGTTGGAAACAGAGAGGTCCTGGTTGTTGGGGGGTGCTCCGGCATCCTGGACCTACCGTAAATCACGGTACGGAATTCCCCCCTGCAGTAGGACATCAGCAGAGAAGCGGTGCCGGGGCCAACTTCTTTCCTCTCTTCCTCCTCCCTAATACTTTCTGTCTACCACAACAAGCGAGCTTCCTTTTCCTTACTTGTTCTTCCCCTCCTCCCCCCTCCCCCTCTTCTTTAACGTTTGATCCCTTTATCGTTCTCCGCTTACGTTCCCTCCTTCACTGCCCCCTCCCCCTTTCTCTTCTTCCTGTCCGGTTGGTAGTTTTTGCACTGTACGGCGCTCGGTGGCTGTCCGCCTTTAATTTTCTTTCTCCCTCTTTCCGACCCTAATTTTTTGTTCCTCTTCTCAATCTGTTGGAGTCGGTCATTTCTTCCCGGTTTTTTTCCTTCTATTTGAGCACTCTTTCGTTATTCATAGGATAGGTTTAAGGGGTGGCTGCTGCTGCTGCGTGCAGCTTTTAATCCTGTGCTGATCCGTGCAATCACTGGCCGTCGCTCCTTTCAACGTCTCTCGCTTTTTCTTTTCTTTCCCTTGTTGAGACTAATTAGGGCGATTACACACGCACGCAACCTTATTCTCATCACTACACTTTCTGCATCCTTGGAGCGAACCCGACGAGTTCCACGGGGCACCATCGTCATTCCGTCCGACTCCCACAACGGTTCAAGGAAGCCCTAACTTCCACAAAGGGTGGCAGAGCTCCGGTTGATACGGGTGGACAATCCGTAACACATCCAATCCAAGACACCCACCATACCCAACCATCCATCTCAACCGCTGTCATGGACAATCGGCGTCAATCAGCTGGAGGAAGGAGTGGAGGGGGGGGAGATCGTAACAATGTCTCTGGAAACAATGCTAATTATACTGGAGGTCCAGGAGGGAATCTTGCAGCCTTGGATTGGGTTGTCGGTCTTCGGTAACTTGTCAACCTCTCTGTTCCTCGTACCTGACTAACAAAAACCATGCTAAAGAATCCGTGTTGTCACGATTATCGATGATACCTACGAAGGAACTATTTACTCTTACGATCCTTTGACCTCAACTCTTGCGTTGATACAGTCGCCTGCCCATCCCCCGCCTACTCCGGTGAACGAAAATGCGAATGTTGCACAATCATATTCTCCTCAGGATTATCGTATTCTTAAAATTTCGTTCCTCAAGGAAGTTGCGGTTCTTTCACCGCCAAAGCAGCGCTCGGTTGCACAGCCCTTCACTAACGCCGAGCCCAAAATCGGAACTGTCGATATTGCGGCGGTAGCTGCTCGGGAAAGGGACGCAGCCAGAACGGAGGCTGAGAGGATTGCAAGTAAGGGTGTCGGTGTTACTAAGGAAGCGCAAGATATTTACGATGCGTTGTCTAGAACGTACGTACCCTCACCTCGATTCCCATCGCCGTCGTATCGCGGGATGAAATTGTGTTAACCTTTTAATGGGACTGTATAGAATGAAATGTAGGTGGCAGGGCAAACAAATCATCGTTTACAATGACGTTATTATCGATGAGCCGTATACTGTGGATCGCGTTAGATCGAAGGACCAAAATGCTTTGATTCATGTTAAGAAAGTGGTATGTTTGAAGCTCGGGCCTCTTCATACTTGAGGGCCAAATCTGACTAGAATAGCTTGAGGGGGAACGCCGTAAACTAGAGACGCAGCGGAGGGCTGCTACGCCAGTCTCGGGAGAGAGGAAAGGCGGATAGGATAGGACACGATGCAAGAGTAATAAGTACGATAATTTAATAGTTTAAAAATTCCGTTTTTTTCCGGACTTTTATTTCAGCGGTGTGATAGGATATCGGACATTGGGGAAAAGGAGTTCTATTTGAGGGGTACAAAAAAGCATTCAAACACGGGAAAGGTTGTTGGAGAAGCGGGAGGGCATTGTATTTGTTTTTCCTCTTACTTTTATGAGAAGTAACTCGATGTCCGTAAGCGTATCATGGGAAATTTCCTCACCTGGGTCGGGCATCGTTGCGGGCAGGGCTTCTGCTTATGGGTAATTAAGGCAGACTTTGAGAGAGTAAACATGAAGTGTGGAGTCAAGTTGAGCCTCAAACAGCCTACCCTCAAAGATCACCCGAAGTCCTCTGCTGTCCGGGTAACCATTACCACGGGACCCCCCACCTTTTTTTCCCCCCTGGTTACCGTACTAGTACAGTAGAGTACCTCGCAAACTGATCGCTGCCCCACGATAGTAATAGAAATAAAAAGAAACAGCCAAAACAAACACACTCGGCAAACCTTTCACATACCGCTGCAAGAACGTCGACGCCTTACCGCACGCTTGCACAATGGCGACAACAATACCAACCCCAGCACCCACGGACCTGGACACAACCATGCTCCTCCTCGCCTCAGCAGACCACAACACATCTGTGATAACCTCCCTGTTAAAAACTTCATCCCCGAACGTCCAGGATCCGGACAGCAAGCGGACACCCCTACACGTCGCGGTCGCAGGATCCAACAAAGATGATCCTCCAGAGAAATTGAGGGCCGCAGAGGATACTCTTAAGCTACTTTTGCGGAATGGGGCTATTTGGAACGACCTGGATGGGAACGGTGAGACGCCGGGGTGTGTTGCGTATAGGCTTGGGTTGAAGGGGCTGTATGAAGTTATGGTTGAGGCGGGAGTTAGGGCTGAATTACTACTGGCGAGGTTAGGAGGGTGGGAGGAGATTGAGGATGAGGATGGGGATGATGAGGGTGAGGTGTTGGGCGGGGAGAAAGAGGGGGAAGGGGCGGCAGGGGGAGTGGAAGAGGTAGAGCAGGAAGGAAGCGGCATTGGGGCCGCGGTAGAGGCGGTAGCGGGGGAGAAAGATGTCAGTTCGGAAAACTACCTAAATTCCGAATTGAAATATCATGAGGATAAACTTCTTGACTCGGAAAATAACGGTGTAATGATGGAATGGGAGAGAAATATCATGGAGCGAAGTGTCGAGGCATTACTCCCCGGTGACAAACCGGGAAGGGGCATCATGAACATTGGTTTCGGAATGGGCATCTTCGACACATTGGCCCAGAAGAAAAACGTCGCCAGACACATAATCGTGGAGCCCCACAAGGACGTCCTTAAAAAGATGAAGGAGGAAGGCTGGGACAGGAAGCCCGGAGTAGAGATTCTGGAAGGTCGGTGGCAAGATGTCAGTTAACCGGGCAAAAGCAGCCCATCCCGCGCTACCCTAACCAATCGGTCATTGACACGCCAAACAGGTCCTTGAATCATTGATCCAAACAGGGGAAACCGTCGACGCCATCTACTTCGACACCTTTGCAGAGGACTACTCTCAATTGAAGCTTTTCTTCTCAGAGTATGTCGTCGCACTTCTTTCTCAGGAAGGTGGGCGCTTTAGTTTCTTCCACGGACTCGGCGCCGACAGGAGGATTTCCTACGATGTCTACACTAGAGTAGTGGAAATGGATCTGTTCGACGCTGGGCTCGAGACCACGTGGGATACTTTTGAACTGGGTGAGGGTGAAGGGCAGAAGGAGCAGGAGTGGGAAGGCGTGAGGAGGAGGTACTGGACTCTAGGAGAATACAAGTTGCCCATTTGTATGTTTATGGAATAGAGGCATCTTTAAGTTACACTCCCCACACCCTGTGCAAGCGCACCTGCACATGGGGCTGCGTTGCGTATTTGTTGTCACCCTCCTCCGCCCCACAGCCATCTGGACTGACACTGCAAACCTGTCCCCGGAGGTCTTCCGGGCTCGGTCCGCCGTAAGTGCCCACAGGACGGAAGAGTATTACGAAAAAGAAGAATAAATAAATGGATAAATATCAGGCATTGCTAGAACCTGATAGGGTGGCAAAGAAAAAAAAGTATCATATAAGGGAATAGTTGCCGCTTGCCGTGACCTTGAGCCCTGCATGGTGCCGCGGGATACGTCTTGTGGGCTTCGTGACCTTTCTGCGTTTGCCAAGGTGACATGCCTGCAGGGGTTAATGATTGATCCGGAGGATGAATGAAGAGAAAGGCCCTTTCTTTCCTATTGGGCGAGGGACCTTGGTTTGAGATCTGACTGCAGTACCGAGTATCATGCTTTAACACGCTGGTGTTGGGTTGCACTCGTGCTGTACTCGAGCAGTGGGCAGGTATGTTGACCAGGGTTCGAGATTTTGACACCAATATTGTAAGGTACAGTGCAGTAACTGTACGGTGTTGTGCAACACCATACACGGATGAACTGTTTGCGAGTATCCGTGGTTGGACTCAGTCTTTATCGTTTACGGCGATGGACCCCACTTTCCGCCGTATCTGTTGTGGGGCTCCAGTAGATGTGGTCTCTCTAGTGATGGTAGCGACGATGGTGGTGATGCCCAAGTAGGGGATAGATAGATGGTTATGCTCTCTTTTGGCATGGTACTACTTACCGTAACGCTTGTATGCCGGCTGTCGCACCGCAAACATTACTAGAAGGAAAGGAAATGCCTATCCATCACACGGGCCACTCACAAGGACGGCATTTGAAGGATACCCAACGACTCTAGCCCCTCGTCGCTAGATAAACTACTCGAGTAGATTACGGTATCTCCCACCATCGCCCCCCCTTCCTTGCCAATTTTTCTTTCTTCTTTCTCCCCATCGTACTACTGATAGACGACAAAAAAACCAGGATACTGGCAGCAACGATAAAACCCCCCCCCCCCACCCACCTCCCGTTCAATCGCTCCTCTCCTCTTCTTTTTTCCCACTACGCAACAAAACTGAACGGCAGAATTTTTTTGGTCACTTCATAACCTCTTTCCTACAGATATCCTTTTCAGACTTTAGGCCTTGACAATTCCCTTTTCATCGAAAGGGACTGCTCGCTTGTCGAAGGCATAGAAAAGTTGCCCGTATGCGATTGTTTCCTTCCGAATTCACTTCTCAGGTATGTTTTTTTCTTGTCCCGTTTTCACTGTCTTGTCACCGTCATCTGCAGTCTTGCCCCGGCCACCAATCTGCTCCCGCTTCGGCACGATATCCCCCTTGTTGGTTCAGCTTGAGGTGGTCTCGTTTGCGTTTGTTTGCGTGCTGGGCTTTTCCACGCATATCCGTACTCTATCTTAACACGAGTTTCATTTCTCCACCCTTCTTGCCACCCGTTGGGTTTTTTCACCTTTTGTCATTCCTTCAAGATTGATTCTGTTCACTCTTTTTTTCTCTCGCACGTCATTGCCTCGGGCCCCGAATTGACTGGATGACTGACCGGTTTGAAGGACTACATCTCAGGTACGCGGCTAGCTTGCTGACTCCAAATTCGATCTCGGAATGGAGGGGAAGGGGGGGGGGGGAAGAAGGTTTACACTGCTGCGAGTGGATCCTAACATTGGTGATAGATCACGTCTGGAAAAATTCATCATACTAAACCGGTAGCCTCTGCCATCGAATATCAAAAGATCAATTACCTTTATACCGTACCCGAACATCAATCTTTTCCAGACAATGCTTTCCCGCCGGATCTTGACAAAGGGCTTTAAGCCTTTCCCCAGCTCTACTGTGGCTACCCATCTTAGCTTCAACAATATGAGGGGGTTGGCTACCATCACCGGTAGCACCGGGAGACAAATGCCGCAACCCACAAGGGAAAGGAGCACTCCAGTCAGTCATGATCGTGCAACCTTCACCATTAGGGTATCACAGTCCCCCCACCATCTGCATGTACCATTTTGATTCTGATGGGTTGCAGAACGGTCCTATCTTTCATGGAAAGTCATTCGGGGCTCGCTCCAACATTTCCGGAGAAGCCGTCTTCTCCACTGCCCTGGTCGGATATCCCGAATCCATGACGGACCCATCCTATCGTGGGCAGATCCTCGTCTTCACCCAACCGCTTATCGGAAACTACGGTGTTCCCTCCGCCGATAGGGATGGGCACGGGTTATTGAAGTACTTTGAATCCCCAAACATTCAGGCCATCGGGATCGTGGTTGCCGATGCCGCGCTCAAGTACTCGCATTGGACTGCTGTCGAATCATTGGGCGACTGGTGCGCGCGCGAGGGTGTTCCCGCCATTTCCGGCGTTGACACTAGAGCGATTGTTACCTACCTCCGAGAGCAGGGTTCCTCCTTGGCTAGGATCACCATTGGCGAGGAGTATGACGCCGACCAGGACGAGGCTTTTACCGATCCGGAACAGATCAATTTAGTCGAGAAGGTGTCTACCAAGGCTCCGTTCCATGTTTCGAGCAGCAATGGCGACTTGCATGTTGCTGTTATCGACTGTGGTGTCAAGGAGAATATCTTGAGGAGTTTGGTTGGCAGGGGTGCAAGTGTAACTTGCTTCCCCTGGGATTACCCCATTCACAAATACGCTCACCACTTTGACGGCGTTTTCATGTTTGTTTCCTCTCCCTTTACTGTTTTATCTAGAGACCACCCGCTGATAATACATTAGCTCCAATGGGCCTGGTGACCCAACCCATTGCCAGAAGACCGTCTACCATCTTGGAAAATTGATGGAGAAGTACAATGGCCCAATCATGGGCATTTGTCTCGGACATCAGTTGCTCGCCCTAGCTGCCGGTGCCAAAACAATTAAGTTGAAGTACGGTAATCGTGCTCACAATATTCCCGCCTTGGATCTCACTACCGGAAGATGCCATATAACCTCGCAAAATCATGGTTATGCAGTCGATATCAAGACCCTTCCCTCCTCTAACTGGAAGGAATACTTTGTCAACTTGAACGATGGATCCAACGAAGGCATGATCCATACCTCTCGCCCTATCATGTCTACTCAATTCCATCCCGAGGCTAAGGGCGGCCCATTGGACTCTAGTTACCTCTTTGACTCTTACCTCCAGCAGGTTGCCGACTACAAGGCTGAGCAAGCTCGTTTCGAGCCTTCCAGGAGCGGGCGGCCCAACACCTTGTTGGTCGACCTTCTGAGTAAGCAGCGTGTTGGTGTTGTTCCCGAGAACGTGTTAGCTAGTCTCAATAGGAGGGCTGCTAGGGGTGAGATTGCTAATAAGAGCGAGGCTACTCCAGTTACTTCGGCTGCTTAAACATCCTCTATCAGAGTTATTTTTACTCCTATTTTTATTTTCATATTTGGTATCCTGATTCTTCGCCCATTTGGGCTCTTGTCAGGATGTTTTATGGTATGCAGTGAGTGGTATTGACTTCTTTTTTTGTTCTTTGTAATAGGATAGGATGGGAGCGCAGGTGCAGCTGAATCAAATTGAATGTTTTCTTTGTTTTTTTTGTTTTTTTTACCTAAGATCACATGTGCACTAAGCGACATGTGAAGTGCATTCACCAAATTATTCGTCATCGTGCCATTGAATTATTGCCTTTTCCCATGAACGAACTGTATGTTGTATGGGTTAGGGTTTGTTCTGCACCAAGTGCAACTATCGATGAGCACTGGAGTACTGGTACTGTACCCGTATTGCCGATGCGCGAGTACAGTACAGTGTGTGAGCGACAATCCATTCCCTGTTTCCCCTCCTACCTGCCGGTGAATGTACCCTTACCATTAGCCCTAAAGAAATTTATAAAAATTGGGTGCAACTAGCTGGTTGGCGGAAAATTTTTCCTCCAGTCTGATCTGATATCTATCCTCTGGAGAATTTCCTTGCCTCCTTTCCTTCCATTCGGGGAATATTGTGCAAAAACTGTATGATATTTGTACTACTAGCATTCTGCTCAAACATTCAAGTTAGGTGGTTTGGAAAATGAACTAAAGATTTTATGATACAATCTTGATTGTTGTATCTTGTCTTCTTATTAAGGGCGCTTAATGAATGGTTGTCAAAACTAGTAATATAAGACAGTCACGGTCAATTTTTCTGATTACTTTATATCACCTCTTTCAGGTCATTACCGATGCCATCTCTATACCGGTAAAGTAGTCTGATATTAACTCGATAAGTAGGGAACGAAAACTAAGAACATTTCTGGGAAGAGTGTATATGGCATTGTAGTAAGGAATACTGAGAACTTGAGTTCCTTTTACTTTCAGTCCTATTATAATACCTTTTAATTTACGCTGGATAGCCGATAGACCGTGTGAGCCCTCAGCGAGGCGCGGCGTTGTCTACCACCTAAAATACTGCTATTTGCCACAATAAAGCGACCTTGAACCCTTAGCGCTTCGCTGAGGGCTCACACAGTCTATCAGGATTACCGTATACGGAGTAGGCGCCATAGGATACCGAACCCAACTTACTATAGGTTAGAGTGACCGTATCCCAGCCAGAGGGATAGTTTGAAAGTTGGGGGTTGAAGCTGTCGGTGGCTGTTTGGGGGGGGGGAAATTACTTCACACTAGAAAGTTTACCTCTTTGCATAAACGATTCCTTGCTATTCCCTGGTGTTGTCTCGGTGCTGCAGCCAAGGCTTTGGATTTTTGACTTCTGGCTTACAATTATCATACTCGAGTACCGGTACAGTCGTTAACTTCGTTTCTGCATGGGGGCACCATCACTTTACAGCATTACCGTATCCGAATGATAAGCCATCAGCCTCACCACTACATCCTAAGCGAACCTCCCATCACGCCAGAGCCGAATTGAGCCCAAGACTTGGCAACAGCAACTCAAAAGGAAGTCCCTCCCAGCCTTGTTTTCTATTCTACCTATGATAATCTGCTCCCTCGCAACCATTCTTCACCTTCCCTTGTTACTCTATCCGCACCCTCCTTTTCCATTCTCCGTAACACCCAACGCTCAACGCTCCATCATCAATTCCTTGAAACCTACAACAAATACAACAAACTCAAATAAAAAAACAATTTACGCGCGCAGACATGCTCGACCCTGCCACACTCCCGTCGCTCAAGGTGACGGAGTTAAAGGTCGAGTTGAGAAAGCGCGGTCTACCCGTTGGAGGTTTGAAGCAAGCGCTTGTAGAAAGGCTAACCGAGCAAGTTCTTCAGGAGCGCGCAGCGGCGGCGGAAGCAGAAGCGATAGCACAGGCGGTGAAAGACGAGGAGGCAGCGGCGGTAAGGGATGAGCGGGGAGAGGAGGTGGTGAATGGAGATGACGAAGTTGCGCCGGATCCTCAACCAGAACCTCAACCCGAACTGATGCCGGGAGCAGCCGAAGAGAAAAAGGATGCTCCTGTTCCCCAGCCTGCGCCAGGAGCGATTACTGTCGAGACTGTGCAAAGAGCGGCCGTCGAGGAAAGTATCACAGAGCCGGAGATTATCCTGGAGGAGGCTTCGGCCCCTGAAGCTCCGACCGAAGTTGAACCTGCTGTGATTGAAACACCTCCTGAACCTGAGTTAGAGACTGGAGCTGCTGTTGCTACGGAGGTTGTGGAGGAGGAGGTAGTTTTTGAGGAGAAGGTAGTCTTTGAGGAGAGGGTAGTCTTTGAGGAGAGAGCAGTTTTTGAGGAGAAGGTAGTTTTTGAGGAGAAGGATGTGGAATCCGAGGCGATTGGGAGCACTTCAGATCCTGAAGCTAAGCTTGAGACTGAACTGGTGGAAACCGGAGCTGTTAAGAAAGTTACGGAGGAGGAAACTGGTGAGACAGCTCCGGAGCCAAAAGCCAAATTTGAGGATGAGGTGGTTGAAAAGGCAGTCTTAGAAGAAGTCACGACTAAGACTGAGATTGCTCCGGATGGGGCGCCAGAGGATGGGGCAGTTGTTGAAAAGAAGGAAGTGACACCCGTTGGACAGTCAATTTCACAATTTGAACCAGAGGCTGAGATGGAGCGAGTGAAGTCAGAAGAAACTGTCGCTGCTCCTGCTGCTGGAGAGCCCGTCCGTGAAATAGTGAACGATGAGGACTCAAAGATGGTTGATGTATCGCCGCTTTCTCTGCCTGTTGAAAAAAGCATGGTCCCAGAACCGGCTCCGGTCCGAGATGATACTGTCGCGGTATCTACTTCAAAGCCTGAGCCAGAGGCAGACCTTCAACAGGCATCTATCGACCTAATGGATACAAGCGAAGAGCAAACAGACATCCGTAAGCGTAAACGTCGCTCGATAACCCCAACCACCCCCTCCGTACGCGTCGCCGAGCCTGGGAACCAGCAATCAAATGAGGGCGCGATCTCGAAGAAACCTCGGCGGGACTCTACGGAAAACCAGCCCCAGCGTACACGTCCTAAGGACGCCCGCTTCAAAGGCCTCTTCAATGACTCCTCTAGTACCACCGCCGCGAACAATTCTCCAACTGCCTCTCACTACTATAACCAAGCAACTGACCAAGCGATGAGCCAATTGACCGCTCAGATAGAGGACGAGGATGACACTCCCATTCCGCCTTCAATCCACCCGGCCACCCGGGCGCTCTACATCCGCAACTTCGCCCGTCCGCTCAGCGAACCGGCCTTGAAAGCCCACCTCACCGCCCTCGCCTCTCCCCCCTCCAATACTTCTACCGCTATAACTCGCCAGCCATCAGAGTCCCCGATAGAGTACATCTACCTCGACACCATCAAAACTCACGCTCTTATTATCTTCACCACCCTCACCGCTGCAACTCGAGTGCGTGTTGGAATCCATACCAAGGTTTGGCCAAACGAACGTTCCAGGAAACCACTCTGGGCGGACTTTGTCCCCGAGGAGTCGATCGCGGGATGGGTCAATAGGGAGAAGCAGCGTGGTCCTGGAGCTCGCTGGGAGGTAGTTTACGATCGTGAAGCCGGTGAAGGCGGGGTCCGTGCCGAGTTGGAAGAGGTCGGGGGTAGGAGAATTGGACTTAGTGGGGGTGTCGGGGTGGAAGTCTTGGGGGCTCCAACGGGGCCGAGAGGAGAGAGGAGGGGTGCCCAAGCTGTAGAGAGGGAATTTGGTTCGTTGTGCTTTGCTCATCCCCTTACTTTTGCTTTTTACTTTTTGCTTTTTTTTTGCCGACTCTTTAGGAACCTACAATAAGCTTTAAACTCTCCCCGTACATTCCTCCACGTGCTAACTTTGTCCCCCCCGCTTTTTTATAGGTGCCAGATCTACCGCCCCCAATTTCACTGCCGCAGCCACCGGCCCCACCACGATCAGCAACACAGCCCAACACACCACTACCACTGGCGGCGGCGGAAGAGTTGTGGTTAAGGACCTCGACCAACTTTTCCGCTCCACCACCGCCAAGCCGAAACTGTACTGGATGCCTGTGGACCCGGACATTTCCAGGGAACGTTTGGCAGCATACGAACGCGGTCGTGGCAACAGAGGTAATTCTGGCAACGCTGGGGCCGGCGGTTCTAGGAGACGTCATTGAGCATTTTCAAGTATTATTTTTTTGTTCTTTGCCCCGTCCGATCTTAAATTTTCATTTGCATGGTAGCTACGGATTTCTTTCTTGATTGGGATGGGGGGTAGGGTTGGTTTCTGACTATATAAAAACGGCTGTTCTACTCTCTGATACTCTTTTTTTTTTGTTGTTGTTGGTCTCTTCTCTTCTGTTTCTCAGGGCGGTTCGGATTTGTTTTATTTCTCTGCTTGCTTGCGACCCCCTTGATGAATGGAGTTGGAAGATAAGCCTTTTGCCTCCCGGAATGGAATGTCCAATGAAGCTGGGAGAGAATGAGCAGTGGGCAATGCGACAGTTCAAAAGAAAGTGTGAGAATGCATAAATAGTTTGATCTTTTCCTTTCTTCTGGGTGGTACCTTTTTTTTCCTTTTCCTACTTTTTTCTTCTCTGCTTTTACACATGCCTGCGAGGTATGGTGCATCATGGCTTGAGTAAAAGATGGGTAACGAGAGTATTGAAAAAAAGAAAGTCAGATGGAATGCATTATCTTCTTACTTGACTGTTTATCTACTTTCATATCATAATTTTTTTCATTCGTAGGTTTGTATGGTGGCTCTATTCTATCCAAAAACTAGTCTGGGATTTCCTTTTTCTCATTTTCTTTATCCTCCCTTTTTTGCTCTTCCTTGCTCTAAATCACTGCAAACAAAGAAGGCTAGCTAGCATAAATCTGTCTGCTTGTCTGTCATGAGAATGAACGAATCGAGCGAACAGCAAGCAGACAGAACGAAGCGAAGTATCGCGAGTAGAAATAAATACGAATGCAATGGAAAGGAAGGAGGGGAATTCTAAGTGATGTATTGGGCTGCACTCCCGTGACCGTTTTTTTCTTCCCCTCTTCTGTAATATGTGGTCAACGAGTGCTAATGAAAGGTCAGGGACCTAAGAGAAGTAAAGGACCGGATACAGTGGTACGTATGATATAGAACTATTAGATAGCGCCTAGTTCCTTCAACCGTGAGATTAGGCCGTCTACTGAGTCGACTTTTCCACCTCCTTGACGAGGGGGTGGTTCTGGTGCCGTTAACAAGGAAGGAGAAAGAATGGGGATTGGGGGGATATACCGACGACTTCCACAGTCTCCAACCTCTTCCTGAACTCCACATTGAAGTCCGCCAGCGTCTTCTTCTCCATCGGTTTCTTCTTTGCTTTCATGATGTTTGGAAGAGTAGCGTAACGCCTATACCGCCGAGTAAAAGTCAACCTCTCGCTCACACACACACACACACACACCTCTGACAGGAGATGGGAAAACCCCACGGCTCATTAAGTCTCAGATCCGTCGTAACTACCGCAGGCAATTTCACCCTAACAACCTCCTCCCCTCCATCCACCTCCTTTGTGACGACAACCTCACTACCCTGCACCTCCACCTTCGCGGCCTGCGTGGCCTGACCCCAGCCCAACAGCCCCGCAAGCATCTGTCCAGTCTGTCCGGAGTCATCATCGATACTCTGCTTCCCGCAGATAACCATATTACACCCTTCCTGGCGCACCACCTCCCTCAGCAATTTAGCCACAGCGAGCGGCTCCAGATCAATCTCCTCCGGCCGCTTCTCATCGAGTTCTACTAGGAGCGCACGGTCTGCACCCATTGCCATGGCGGTGCGAAGCGTGTCCGCTGCCTTAGCTGGTCCGGCGGAGAACGCGAGGATGTCTTGCACAGCATCACCGTTGCGCTCCCGCAAGCGCACGGATTCTTCGATGGAGAGCTCGTCAAAGGGATTCATGGACATTTTCACGCCGGAGGTCATTACGGCGGTTTTGGTGGCGTTAACACGGGGTTTTATCTTTTTTTTTTGTTAGTTTATAGACAACGGTCGGTCTTTTATGATTGGGGGGGGGGGGGGGTGATACGGCGTAGTCTATAACCCGCTTTATTGGGACGAGGATGCGAAGAGAGGTCATTGTTGGGTATTGTTATTATATCTGTGGTTTGTTGGGGGGGGATTGAGCCAAAAGAATAGAAGTGTATGCTGGGAATGATGGAAGTTGGAGATTGGGAGTCGAGTATAATGTGATCATACCGGTAGTCTATCTGTATCTCAGCCCGCCAGAGGGTTCAGATCGGCATGTGCCGAGAGTGAAGGGTAGTGTGATATGTCACGTGTGTCTTCCCTCCTCCTACCTTAAGGCCAAACTATGGCACCTTAATAACTGTGCCAAGGTTTCTCCCAATTATGTAACTGCACGAGGTTGTAAATCGCGTAGTCTAGCCCGCCCACGAGTGCTGTGCAACATGCCCGACAGCTAAGTTCCCACTATGAGGATTACCGTAGGTTTGATATGGGAGGCCGCCAAATTAATGTCCCTGGAGCCTACCTCACGATGACATTATTTCTTTATGGTTGAAACTTTCATTAGTTCTCCTCTACTGTATATTTTCCTTGCCAGGCTATAGTTACTGGAATGTATTTTTTTTGATTGATTGAAAGTTCTCTTCTCACTAACTTAATAGCTTTCTCTCAGGGTCTGCTCTTCTCTATACCCTTCATTTCAACTCCAATAACTCCTCCAATCATTTTTTAACTGAGCTCTCAGTAGTTCTTTTCTTGTTAGGCTTCTCCTCTATTTTACCTGCCTGATTCTATCCCGTACAACTTTAGATCAAACTTCTGGTTTTTGTTTGTTAGGAAGTTGAATTAGCTTAGAATTTTGTAATCCTGCTGGTACTAGATATTTTGTTTTTTTGGTTGAATAGGTAGATGGTGATGGAATACCTCTCACCTTAGATAAGGGGGTAGTGTATATAGTCTGTTAAACTATACTGATTAAGTACTAGACTTAAAGATGATGGGAAATCTTTCAAGACTAGGGACTTGAGGCTATTGTGAAATAAATTTAGAACTAAAAGCTATAATTGAACAAAGGTGCAAATGGACCTAATTCTCATAGTAAGGATTAAGCTGTCGAGCATGTTGTAGATGTGCTATGTACAAGATTCATAACTGTGCACAGTTACATAATCAGCAGGAACGGGTGCATAGTATGATGCCTTATCTAGGAGTAGGCACCGCCGCAAAGTGCGCACAAACAAGCCTTGGAGAATTTCTTGTAATTACAGTCCATCCCCCTGTCACCAAAAGGTATATACTACCAACCCCCCCCCCAAATCACTGTACCATATGCTCAAAAGTCATCACGATCAATCACTTGCTACCCAATAAAATAAATCGACTCTGGTTCGATAGAACTCCATTATAATATTCCCAGGCAGAAAAGCTGATCTATGGTAACTACAAACTAAAAGTTACTGGGGTAATTCCCGAAAGGAACCGAACCACCACCACCACCACTACCGCTATTCTCCCGTCTCCCCCTCCTCGTAGGGTCTTTGGGCGGTCCGTAGTTTTCCCAAACAGCTGGCTCACCAGCAGCACCCGAACCCCCCATCCTCATGTTTGCTCTATTGGTCGCTTCAATTCCAGCAAATTTCTTACCAACACCACGAGCTTCTTCGATGCTCCTTGTTAGGACCCCCAACAGTGCCACGAGATGCACGTCCGATTGCTCCGCAAGTTGTTCCTGACGGAATGCACCAGCGTCGGCTGGCGTAAGCAGCGGGAGACGGGAATGTGTGAGCGACTTCAAAGCGCGGAGGAGCTGGTGGTTCGGTTTGTCGTGAGGGGGGATGGAGAGATAGTTTGTCAAAAGGCGAATCCGGGAGTGAAGCATGCGAATGGCGTTTGCCTTAGCAGTTAAATTCGCCAACACTGCCGATCCATCAATAACATTGATACCAACGGCGGGCATGATAAGAAGGAAGGGGGAAAACTTACATTCATCATTCTGGGTTCCCACGTTTAACTTGTCCTCTGTCTCTTCTCCAGCCCTCTCCCCCCTCTCCCTCTCCTTTCCTTTCCCCTTCATTATCTCAGCGAATTCATCTGCGAGCTTAATCTTCTTGGCATCCTTCGGAACGACTTTTCCTTCCGTCGTGCTCTCTAATCCCGAAGCCTCAGCCGTAGCGTTACCAAAACCACCCTTGGCAACAAAGTCCACACCAATCATCTCAGCCTCACCAGTCTCGATGGTATATTTTAACGGCACAAACTTAAGTTTCAGCATGCTCTCAACAGTGCCGGCAGCAGCTGCCTCTTCGGTTTCGATAATGGACTCGTAGATCCCTAGTGGAAGCTTTCCGCCGCCACCAGCAGATGCGTTTGGGGCAGGATTGAGACAGAGGATAATTGCCGACTCGTTGTAGCTTAGCATCTTCTGATGGATAGGAACCATAACCAGGGAAGGGTCGAACGTAGGCGAAGTAGTAGTTGTAAACCAGCCAAGCAGATCAAGTGTTGGATGGGTTTCCTTGACTTTTTTTTGATTTTTTGATTCCCCTCATCAGCAAATAGATAGGGAAGCCAAAAGGCGGAGAAAGGGGACTTACAAAGCCTTAGCTTATTGTCAAACCATTCTTCGTCAATCCTGACCTGATCCTTATCCACTAAGGCAATAATTTCGTATGCATGTTCGATGGCTATATCTCGACCTTCCTGGGTACCCAGAAGCGCACCTACCATCGGCCCGGTCTGTTTTCTGAGTGTGTGTCTTGTAATGTAATCTGAAATAGTTAGAAGTGCTAGGGGGTGCAGAGCAATCTGCAGCCCGGAGGTGGAGGGGTGGGTTGAAATGAGGGAATCATCTCTGATTTCAGCCATAATCGCTATCGCTCTTCTGTTGTTGTGATGGTGAGAGGTTGAATGTAACTGTTTGGTTGAGCTTCTGGAAGCTCTGTTGGTGGGGTGTGGGATGAATGAGTTGAAGCGAGATGATACCGTAGGACAGGAAAGAATGATTCAGGGTCTAGGGTTTTCCAGTGGGTGACGTAAGCATTTGACTCTCACTCGCAATGTCCTTGTCTTGGGAAATGAAAGTTTGCGGTTCTATCGGAAACGCACAGTGAAGATCAGGCAGCCATCACTAGGTAGTGGTAACTACAATGCATAGCGTCAGAAATGGTGGTAATAGTAACGTTAACAGTAGGAACATAACGCCCAAGCTACGGCGGGAGAGAGTGCTTAGCCGGGGAAGTGACAAAGATTATAGATCTCTGGTTCCTCTTGGGTAATGCTTTCTGGGCTAGGAAGCTATGAAATTCGGCATGAAACGAAGGGATGCTGCCCATAAACTCGGGTAATCTTGAGCACAGCGCAATGCTCCCACATATCCTCGACCAGAGGAGGATTGAAGGATTCCCAATTGTGCTAAGGTAGCTCTTCTAAAGCTTCCGTATATATGATGCTTCACAAAGGTTCGGCAACGGCACTAGAAGAAACTAGAATACAAAACAGGCACAACAGAGGTGCATTTGATTAATTTGGTATGAAGTGAAGCTCGGTGTAAGGTTTAGTAGAGTGACATCTCGGTCTGGGAACCATGCGTGGGGGTTCTGACATTCCGGGCGTCTCTCAACTTCACACTTATCCTCCCAACATCGATGATTGGGCTAGTTGGGGGAACGCGCTCTGGAGGGGTTTCTGGGTGCTGAGGTTGCCCAAATCCTCCCTTCGCTCACATCGCAGGCTCCAGCATGCGAGGTGGATAGCCTTGTGACTGTGGCGAGATATTAGATGAGTTAGAATTCTTATAATTGTTTTAATAGAGGAAAGCCTACCTCGAGTTCGTCCTCCCTGACTTTCACGTCGCGCTCGTTGTTAGATCCAATGCTAACCAAAAAGAATGATATCATCGAAAGGTTTATCTATACACGAGAGGGGGCGTATTCAGCAGGTCTGATGAAGCACCCCGCCCACTGCTGATGCATCACAAACTCTCCAACTGTGAAGTTGTGACGGCTCCCTCCCTGCCGGTCCCCATGCTCCCCTGGGTCTGATCTCAACGGTACCCAAACAAACCAAATCTCCGAAACAGACTCGACTGTATACCCTGTACTCTATATATTGAGAATGTCTATCCCACATAGGGATCTATTAATCGGTAGCGACTTTACCCTCTCCTAGAGCCTTTGCAACTCCAACATCTCCTCAATTACCTCTTTAAATTTATGGTAAACTTCCACCATCTCTGTGATTCCCAGTTCGGTATCAGAGACTCTCAACTAGCCTCTAACTTCCCTACTCGGGTCTAACCTATCACCACTATTTTAAAGACAGTTGTATTTTAGTGCATATGATATTTAAACAGGCCACGGGCCCCAACCGCATAATCCCACCCCCTGGTGACTACAGCAATCTTGGGGCTCTCCTCACCGGGCTCTCCATCTATAAGCCCCCGCAAGACTGCAAGACAGGTACTTCGGGCATCCAATTTACTTTTAGATATTCGCCACGCGCCAGCGAGGGTAAGCTTCCGTGGCCATCCTAATTGGCGATTTCGGGGACAAAGTCACACTGAACCCTGAGAGCTTCGATGACAGTGTCTTCGGTTCGGGATAGCAAAAAGTTGCGGAAGGCCGGGTATTCCAAGGCGAGATGGATGAAAGCACAGGTACTCCATTCGGACAATCCATCAGCCATTTCCTGTCCCAGACACTCGACTATGCCTTTCTAAGAGAGTCCCGGGGCAGACTACATCGCCTTAAAATCACAAATGGTTAGGCCGTGTGCTATGTCGTTCGGGTTGCCTCCTCTGGTAAGGTCTGGCTTTTGTGGGAGGGAAGGGAAGCCTTTTAGGGAGCCTGAATAACAACCCTTTTTCTTCGTTTCACACCTCTCTAGGGAGGGGTTTTGGGACTACTTAGCTATGGCCCGAGTGTTTGAAACCGCACGGGTACTGACGAGTATGCGAAAGGACTCGTAGCGAGGTATGCTGACATTCGTAATCATATGGTGTTGCTTGTTTGCTATGGATTCCTTGATATTCTGCGTAGAACCTTTGTGTTTAAAGGGGCTTTTGCGCCCCAATAGAAATGGAGGACGGAAGATGAAGACTCAAGACAGGGAGTGAGGATTGAGCCTTCGTTTTCCTGTTTCGTTTTCCTTGGGCTTCGTTTTCTGTTCTGCGGCTTCTCGCCGTCAGGTCAGGGAATGGGGCTTTCTGCCTGGGGCACCACTAAGCACTCTCTATACCGTGGCCATCCGACACACTCTGAAATACTCTCGATTTAGGGTGATCATACCTTTTGCTAATAACGGCCTCTCGGCTCTTTAGGATACAAGTGGCGACCACAGAAACCCCGCATGTCAGAAACCCTCTAAAGAGCACCGGACCGGAAAAGGGTCCAACAGTGAGGCACTATACTCGCACGCCAACGCTAAAACTCGAGATCGGGTACCAATATGTCGAGCATGACACTGCTCGAACGGAGCACGGAGGCAGCAGCCCCACCGGAAGTCTAACCCTCCATCTAGCTAAATCCAGTTACCGAGCAAGTTTAACCCTTCTAATATGCAGTGTGCATACATTCCAGAAAGGCCCTTAACACTACCGGTACTGCACTAGCTGCACTAGCTCTCAGCTGCAAACATGTAGTATCGATCATTGAGCCAGGCTGGTCACCTTTGGGTGCACAAACCCGCCCCTTAGGTGAAATTCCAAGACCATGAGAATTGTCTGAAGGGTGCTAATTCGAGTTCCCGATGTGTTTCCCGTTGCTTACCATCGGCATAAAACTAGGTATTGAATCGCACGGCTCATGTCGACTGCTCATGTCACCGGTTTGAAGACGCATTGCCTTTTTTTTTGGTGGTGGTGGTGGTGGCTCGCCAAGAGAGTTGCGACTTCAATCCGGCAACATGAGTAGAAGAAACAAGGACGTCTTATAGTGGGGGCCGCTCTCGATCTGTTTGTGGGTTGCGTTACGGCAGTTATGGAATACCTGAGTATGCTCCCATCAACATACATCGAGCACTCGGGTAATTTTTTACATGGCAGCGCGATGCTGTGCCTTCATAGGTCTCGCGTTGGTGCTTCATCGCGATTTTGCTCCACAATGCTGTGAAATGCTAGAGGTTGGGTGTTTGATCTATCAATTCGCTTCATTCTAAAATTGACAGGAGTCGTCTTTCCCTGCAACAGGTGACAGGAGAGGAAAAGGGGTCCCGTCAAATGGCACGCGAAATGTCAGCCTACTGCCGGTACTCGGAGGCTAACTCAATATTAGTGCGCTCCGGGTCAGGGGGGGCTATTAGCCAATACATCTTCGAGTCTAGTACCTGTATGGCAAGCTATGCATGCGTCGGAATGTAGGGTCCAATGCTAAAATTGGGGGAAAGAAGGTGCTTCGGTAGAGGAGCGCATGCACGCTGTAGCGCTATTACCATCTGCCGTTAACTTGATGGTGGATGTCAGTAGTGCAGGGCATCCAGGTACCGGTTGGAGCACTTGTGAAGGGATATTTTCCTCTACCGACATTAGAATGGATCTTTTGAATCCACGTTCCAACAGCGTGAACTCGTCGGATAACTAAATAAAGGCATTTAGCTCCGGGCTTGAAAAAGAGTTTTTGGGGTGGCAAGTTAGAGCTGACCTGCCAGTATCGAATGCGAGGGGGTGCTACACACTACAAGGTCTTACGACTCGGAAAAGTCGCACAAACGTCTTCAAACTCCGGGGTGAACGCCCCTGCTACCAGCACGAGCACTGGGGCCTTGCGGTGAGTATCGCAAATTATTTATGGCGCCGATGCCATAGCTAGCCACACAAGCAGCAAGACATGCACGCCGTTTTGTTTGGCGGCAGTGAAGTTGTCTTGTGGGGTCCATGGCAGATGGTATCGTGCTCAGTCAGTGAAGCGGCGTAACGCTGGGTTATGGCAGGGTGGACTGAGCGCTTAACTCAGCTAACAAGAGATTAGAGTAAGAGACGGGTAGCTATCTCTTCGCCATTCCCCTCTACCCGCCTCTTATCGATAAGCATAAGAACATGCTTGCTAACGGATAGGCGTAAGACAATCAAACCTCTCTTTCTCCGTCTATTAACCACGACATTCCCAGCAGAGAAGAGCTACCAGGGTCTGGGATCCCCGCCTACGCAGCGGCAAGGAATTAGGGCTTCGGATGTGGGCGAACGTGCCGGTAACATAACGAGGTGAAAAGTCTCGATAAAAAAAATAAAAAATAAAAAATAAAAAAGCAAAAAGTTAATCTCGAGGAGAGGAGAGATATTCCGCAAATGGCAAAAAGTTCCCTCACCATAAAAATTCCTATCATACTTGCATTTTTTTTTTTTTTCACCTCGCCCTCGTTTTTCTCGTTACCGGCACTGTACGATACCTTAAATTTACCTTCCTTCCCTCCACCCCCAACCTCACCCTCCAAATTCCCGTACTCCCAGTCACTGCGCGCACGTAACAACCGATCAATAATAATAATAATAATAATAATAATAAAAAGAATAAAAAGATGTGTGCGGTACCCGACGGTGGTGGTGTTCGGTGGTTTCTATGAAATAATGTGAAATCTGCGTACGGTTCGATATGGCACCGGCCAAGTACTCGAGTAGCGGAATACTGAACCTCTCTGGGAACGGAGGGGAGGGGTGTGTGGTGAGATCAAATGCTGGGGTAGAGTGAACTTGGAGCAAGAGCACCAGCCTAAGTTCCAGAAAGGCAAAAAAATACGGGCTACTGGGATCTGATTGGTTCGCTAGGAGATAGCGAGATCAACTCCTAGGTTGTCGGCTTACCCGACAGACGAGTGGGGGAGAGGGGGTGGTCAGGGTACCGTACCCCACTGCTCCGGTACTTTGCTCCTTCACAATCTTTTCCCCTCTGGTACCGTATCTCCTGCTGCTGCTGTTTGGCTTCTTGCCATGTGGGAAATGGAAGGAAGGCAATAAGGAAGGGTGGGAAGGATTGCCGGTAGCATGAGGTCGTGGATCTGGTGGTATATATCATACATATATATATCTCTATCATATGCAAGTTACTCCCTTTCAAATAACATATCTGTCCCTTTCGCTCCTCCACCCCACATGAAATGCCGTGAAAACAGCCCCCCTCCTGCGCGCCTTCTCACCAAATTACTATTGCTCCCGCTTTGGTCACTGGGTGGCTTCCGGTTGGCTGATAATCTGCTCCATTATGGATAATAGAAAGGGAGTGTTCCCGCATCCATCGAGATGCTGTAGGCAGTCCCCATACGAAGCCAGGTGGGCCCGGGTGGAAAATGAATGAATAGAGGCTACAGAGAGGTAATTGCACCACAAAAAAAGAGAAATCGAGCAAATCCAGGGCGTAACTTCTTTGCTCGGATAAGAAGCTCCAGGGGTGGGCAAGAGGACGGAGTCTGGACGAAGATCCGACTGTTCTCCCCCTCTCACTCTCTCACTCTCTCACTCTTGCGTCCCCTCCTGCAAAGTGGGAAAATTCAGGAGCAGGAAAAAAAAAAAAGTCAATCCATCATCCAAGCTGTGGAGGACGATTAGAAGCTGCTTCTGAGCACTCGGATAGTTCACTCCACGCCCGGCAGTTTTAAAAAGAAGGGCGGTTCCCTACGCTTGCGTGGATCGAGTAAAGGCGAGAGGGGAGCAGAGCATTTTGATCGGTTTCGTGTGTGTGCTTGTGTGGATCCTTCAACACTTGCCCCTCATACTCCCTTCCCCCTCCCTCCCCCTCCCTCCTCCACTCTCTGGATTTCACTGTTATTCCATACTTCCCCGGAAGGGGCATCAGACGAACGGTTGGGGAACAGTCCTGCAATCCCACCTGGCGCATTAGGCACGAATACTTGCTCTCGATCTTTCTATTCCCACGGGAACAATAACTTTGCCGGGTTGGGGGATATAAAACGTGTGCTGGGGAAACTTTATATCAGAACCCAACATTTCCGGTTTCCCATTTTCTCTCATCGGAAGGAGTGGTCACAAACACTGCCTTTAATTCTATTCCTCCTTCACTCTCATTTGCCGCTGATTCGGGCCCGCAATTTCTTTCCTTTTCCCCAGCTATTCACCTTCCCTTCCTTCCCCTTCCTTCCACAGAATTCACCCCCGTCAATTGAGTCTTCCAATACCACGAACCTGAGGCACCTACCCGCCGGGAAGCACTGGACGAAAAGTGTAATATTTACCGATTTGATACCCACGCTTTGAAATGCCGGACGCAACGCTTTATGGCATCGTGAGTCTCATGGCAGTGGCGGGAGTGCTGTATCTATCCTATAGCCGCCGAACAGCTCCACCTTTTATTTTGGCAGACAGAAGCCGTCGAACTCCTGTTGAAACTGCCGGCACTCCGCCACGCTCGTTGACACCTAGCCTTGCTTCCGAGAAGGATACCAAAGCGGAAGATATCGCCAGACCTGAAGACGTTTCAGGGTATTCCTTTCCTCAACCCACTGCCCCGGCCCCGAATAGGAGAAAGCCCTCGATTACAGCTCTTATGACCAACCTTTTACCCACATCACGGCGTGGCTCAGTGGCCTCGCCCTTCACGAGTACCACCACTGATGGTGAGGGAGGTGCCTTTCCGCCTGTCGTTAACCGCTCGAAAGAAGAGATTGAGAGCCACGGCGACTTCCCGGATTATGCTGCTTTGACTGGGGTGAGACTGCCGGCTCCATATATGGAGTTTGATATTGAAAAGGCACTACCGAGACCTTACCGACCATTCCGCTGGGCATATCATCAGACTATGTGTATGTTTCCCTGAACCCTGACCCTTCATATTTTTGTTTCACTAAGGTGAATCAACTCCTCGTTTCCGCTGTTCTGGGACCCAACTTAGGGGCCCGGGTTGTTGCTGTTGCCTTTCGGCTTGGGCAGTTTATATTGAGTGAGCGCTGATGACCGAGCCTAGCACTAACGAAAATGGAACCTGACTGGTGGCTCGAGTTGGAAAATACTTATGTGGATCGGATCGCCCAACGAAAATCACTGTACATCCAACACGGGAAGCAGGTCCTCGATTACCTCCCGGGAACTGAAGCTGCTTGCAAGGAACTAATGGAAATGTGTTTGGAATTTCTGGTCGCTCGGTACCCCCACTACTTTGCCCTTAGGGGCCGCCACACAAACCCTGTTTTCGGGAATAAGATACTCGATAAAGAATTCCGCATCAAGGAGATGCATCCACTGCATGTTATTCTTGAGAATATTCCCGAAGATTTTGCGATTACCCTGCAGGATGACCAGGGATTCTATTCATTCAGGGCGGGGGTTATTTGCAGCAGTCTTGGATGGAATCTCGGGACCAAAATTGGAATGAAGCTGCACGAGATTCACAAACCGATCCCAGATTACAAGGAGAAGATGCAAAAGTCGATGGACCGGTACCTTTCCTCGCGCGTTTTTTCCCGGCGCCCCTTCTAACATTGACTAGGTACTTTACCAAAATGCAAACCAACAAACCCATCCAACGCGGCTCTTGGGGCCTAGAAGTTGGGCAACCACTTTTCATGCCCCCTGGTGACCCCCATGAAGCCTATCGCGCAGCCCAGTCCCCATCGATCACTCTTGACGATGTGAATCTCCGCGTGGATTGGCAAACACTCCGTCGCCTTCCATTGTCTGGTGCTGTTGTATTCAATTTCAAGGCGCTGTTCACACCGATTCAGGAATTCAGAGACGAACCTGGAATTCCCCAGTTGGTTTCGAAGGTTCTCAAAGAAGGCAAGAAGAACCTGATGGAGTATAAGAATACCTGGCATGTTGAGCACATTGCGCTTCCTGCGCTGGAGGAGTGGTCCAAAGAACAGGCAGATGAGGGGTTGATGCCGGAAGGATGGGAAGTCTCGACATTGGCAGAGAGTCCGTGGTTTAGGGGATGGAAGGAGAAGTGGCATCGGCAACAGGGATTCTAGATTTCTAGGCTATGACTCATGAGATTAATGGGTCTTATATTCTGAGTTTGGAGTGGTTTCCGAGAATTGGGTTTGGTGGACGTGTAAAAAAATTTCTTTCCTCCTCACTTGTTTGTCTGCCTGCATTCTCTTTTTATACCTGGTTGGGGAGTCTGCGTTTTCTTGGGCTATCATGTCTGGTTTTCTTTTTTTTCCCCTTTTTTCTTCGTTTTCTCCTGCTTCTGTCCTTGCTAGAGTCCCAGCAGGAAAAAAGAAGTGGAAGATCATCGAGCATACAAATGCGCTCCCCAGGGAGACGTAGGGAATAATGGTGTTATGAGTTGGAGACGTTAGCACCTGTATATTACTGGTTACACGAACACAAATGCTCGCCATTGTATATTGGGTATCTACTGAGTGTTCGTTTGACGGCGGTTCTATAGTGAATCACGGGCCGTGGGAATTACTACCGTACTTGCGTAGCGCGGCATATGAAGGCGAATTTGGGTGATCATCTGGGGTGTCTGGGAAACCCGGTAAGATGGGATTCTGGGTGACACTTTGTGCTTACTCTCACGCAGGAGGTGTGGGGAAATAGCATGAGGTATGACATGATGATGGGTATGGTATATCATTGAAGAGTGGGGTGGGATCCTCCAGCGCAGCGTCCGCCAGAACCTCATAACAGGAAGGAAGCAACTCGCCAGGAAACAAGGGTTAAGGAGACGCAATATTGTATGATGTGATGGGAAAAATCTACTTCCATCTAAGGGCCAAATCAAAATACACCCCACCGGTTTTCTTTTCCCTTTTCCTTTTCCTTTCACGCACGACACCTCTTGCCCAGGGCAAGTAAGATACGGTATCATATGATACAATGAACAGACACACGACACAACCCTGCAATTCCCAAGGCCCCTACAGTACGGCACAGCACACAATCCCGCGCGCAGCCCGGTCGCAGCAGCGGCACTGCACGACGGTGATTCCACACATTATATCATGATTAGTCCTCACCGCACCACAGAATGCCGAACCAAAGACTATCGACCCGAGCACTATCACACTCGCCAGGCATTCCCTTCCTCCATCCTCCTCCTCCTCTGGAACATGGTGGCAAGAAACAATGGCGGGGGGGGTGGGAGTCCCGGCCAGCATCTCTGAGAGTTTTGCATTAAAAGGTAAAAAAAAAAATTAAAAAAAAACAACACACACACAAGACTTTACTATATAGAAAACTCTATCTAAAGAACGATAGCACACAATTTCTACATCTATCATACACGACAGGAGTAATTCACAGTAGGATACCCGCCCTCTCAGTTTTGTCTTTTCCAAGTTATGGGGGGTATGATAAGATATGATAGATAACTCAAGGCACCGACCGGCTGAAGGAAGGAACGTATAATAGGAATGGAAGTGGTGTGGGAAAACGCTTCAGCTCCATGGGGGGGGGTTTTTTTTTTTTCCTACTCGTGTGATACTTGTGCGTTAAGTTGGTATATCATACCTGCTCCATCCTGTCCGTACCCCTTCCGGAGCTTAAGTTGGCAGGGTGGGGTGGGGTGGAAAGTTTATATCATCTCATAGCCGTGTCGCGAGAGCTCCGTATACTGTACTCCCATCCACTCGAAGCGCGGAACGAGTGAGAAAATGTGAGTGGGATGGTTGAAGTTTTTTTTTTCCCCTTTTTTCTTTGAGGAGAAGAAAGATTAATAAGATGGTTATTATTATTATTATTATTTGTGTGTGTGTGTGTATGTGTGATTGTGGGGAGTGGAGAGGGGGGGTTTTTAAATATCATAGGTCGGGGTCTACTGTACCGTACTAGTACAGTACAGTACATTACATACAGCACAGTACCGCACGGTAACTTACTGTGCCATACAGGTACTTGTAACATCCGGTAATCATCCTTAGGCCCTCTTTTTCTTTCTTTTCTTTCTTTTCTTTCTTTTCCCCTTTCCCTCCTTTCGATTAGTTATTCGAGCATCATATCATACTTTGTGGGAAGGGTGGTTATGGTACTCGTACAAGTACCGGTGTATGGTGGTGATATGATACCACCATGTTATGGGTGTATGGATGAATGGAACTTCCGTCAATCTCGGGCGAAGGTTTTTTTTTCTTTTTCTCACAGGGAGAAGTTCCGCTGTTGTTGCGATGGTATCATGTTCCCCCTGCAACAATGGTGTAACTACAGTACAAGTATCGTAAATTAATCCCTATGTTTCGGGACACACAAGATCAGCCCAATAAACTGTACATAGTACTAGTACTATATAGTAGGGGTTGTAGTAGTACCAACGCATCATATCGTACCATACGGTACCATCTTTAACCATATCATAACCACAAAACGTCACTCGAATTACTGATTATGACGGGACTTGCGGCCTACTGGCCTGACGTCGAGAGGAAGACGAAATATCCTACCGGTAATGTGCCTCCCTACTCCTCCTCCTCCAGAGCAAATTAATCGACCGCACCGGCCAAAAAAGCGATCGGAAGCACACCCGGCCCGGTGTCCTGGAGAAAAACGTCTTCCTCTCCACATTCCAGAAAACAGTATGATACCAGAGGGGGGGGGAAGGAAAAGGAAAAGGAAAAAAAGGAAAAGAAAAAAAAACTCCCCCGCGGCCAAAACTTTCCCATGGAATAAACCTTCTCTCTCCCTAACACACACACACAAATGCCACTCCGCAAGTGGGACAAAAAAAAAAAAAAAAAACTCCTGTACAGTATGATACAACCACAATACTGTGCTTACTGGAAACCCAATATGGTCCGGGCATCGAAGCGTGCGGCGGTGGGAGGGACCTGATGCGCATCTAGCGCCGGGGGATGAGAATATTTTGAATGACATAAGGGAATGCTTGTCAAATTGCCCTGGCAGTGGAGATGCAGAATGCCACAAGGATCGCGGGGAGCTCGGGCGTGCCTCGCAGGGGCTCGTCGGTTGAGGGGAACGATGGTGATGGCGGTGCTATGCTTCCTTCCCCTCCCCCTCCCTCTACCCTGGCCTTTCATGGGTGGATTCGGAAAATTGATGTTTTGGATTTTGAGGGGTTGGTAGATCAGTACCTGATCCCTTTCTCCTTTTCCATATTCCCAATGGGAGTTAGCTCAAGAGCCTCGACATTTGTGGAATATCACCGTGACGGCAGCGGGGGGAGCCAGAGATTTGTACAATATACCCCTCACTCCCCCACTGCCCCCGAGAACTCTCTGGATGATTCCGATCCCGTCTTTTTTCTCCTACCTCACGGCACATTTTTTTTCATACACTCCCGCTTGTCGTCACAAGTGGTCACTCGGTGTCCGTTCTCCCACGACCCGAGCCTCGGTAAGTGATAATTTTGGTATCATAACCGCCATTTGTCTTTCTCTCGGTATCGTCTTTGTCTGGATTGGTGGGCCAGACGTTCAATTCCCACCGACCACCCATACCCACAGACAATAGCCCAACGCGCTGGCAACGCCTCGCATGCATACATACCTCTACACCCAAATCCCCTCCGCACCAGCCCTGCACCAAACTTTCAAATAGGTTCGCTCCGTAGCCGACTAGCAAATCTTAGCCTCGTACCCAGCGGTGCCTGGCGCCATCGGTCGGCATCACCTCCCCATAGCCATTGCCTAACATAAAGCACCCGACTCGAAGGAACAATGTAAATCCATGCCAGCGCAAACCACTGTGGAAGCTATATGACAGCCGTAAATATTTATTCCATCCATAAGGCCCAAAATTGCATCAACAACATTAACCACCCCAAATACACCTTCACGCGAATGATATAACACATTACGCCGCAGCACGCCCCTATACGCTATACCTAAACCCCAGCCTAACTAAAAACAGGAGCCCCATCCCCCCCCCCGCTATTTTCCAGTGGTATCCGTTGCTTCCCTTGTACCGGCCACTCCCTCTGCAGCACTGTCCCCATAGCCAGTCTCCATGTCCACCTTAACCTTCCTCTTTGCAGTGCCAACACCAGCGATACCCTTCTCCTGGTTGATTCCCAGCCAGGGCTTACGTGACTCGCCAAGGGAATTTTGGAATGCAAAGTAGGTGATTAATCCTGAGAACGTTAGATCCACATTTTTTCTAAATCGAGGTCGGGGGGGGGAAGGCGGGCTACCAAGAATGATCATCACGAAAGCTACCGGGTAAAGCTTGCGAATAACATAACCGAACACCCGGATCCCGATAAGGACACCCCAGAAACTGGTTGTTAGGATGGAAATGTTAAAGAATGCCGCCGAAGACATGCGTAGAAGGATCGGCATAATGCTGTCTGTTATGCATTTGTTAGCACCGCAGTTAGGGCTTGTCGGCTGGTTGGTTTGCATGCTTACAGAAAGTAAACAAAGTCAGAGTGTATCCAGACATATAGCCTCCAACCTTGCCATTCCATGTAGCACTCCGGAAGCTGGCCCTATCGAAGATTCCAGCCTGCGTACCATTAATAAGCATACCCCAGAAGGCCAGTTGCCCAATAACTTCGAAGAGTGGCTTCTTCGATACAAAGAATTCCTCCACCACGTTGGAAAACCCGTACATGGTCGCCCCCAGAAGCATGAATAGGTCACCCTTCAGCTCTGTTGGCATTCCCCCGAGGGCAACGCCGTCCATCGCGTCACTAGCCAACAGGACCCCCATACCCCCACAGCAGATAAGGATGCCAAGGATCTGTGGTATGCTGTAGCGAACACGCAGGAAGAGAAACGACAGTATCACCACTACCACGATTGCCCAGAAGTTGATTAGCTGGGCGGAGAGCATCGTTGTATAGCGGTATGCGAGCACCACAAAGTAGTTACCCTCGACGTCCAGGAAGGCGAGGATGAAATCTGATTACCGGTCAATCACACTGTCTCTAGGGGCTATGTTGGGGAGGGTTTGGGGTGTACATCTCCAGCCATCCTTCAGTACCATCTGAGCCCATTGCTTGGGCCCATATTTGTACAGAGTATAGCCTGTGTAAACCAAGTTTAAAAGCACATAGGAAAAGAATGATTGGAAGGCCGGAATCGAGGTGCCCTCGTTGACCAACAGGAGCGAAAACGTATTCGTGGAGACAAGACATAAAGCGAGGACTTGGCTACAAGATAACCCGTTAGCCACCACGACAAACACAGGAGAGCTTTACCGGGGGGGGGGGTAAATGGATGAGCGGTTACCCAATGAAGAGCACCTGGTAAAAACGGAAGGTCTTCAAGAATGCAAACCTCCCCTCCTTGACCGGGGGAACCTCTTCGATAGTAGCCACGGTGCTTGCCGGCACGCTCCTCCGGTGAGCGCATAGATCATCGGGGTGCGGATTGATGGCGAGTTCGGCGTGCTCTTTGCGTGTTTCCGTCATGTTGGATCCCATATGTTTATCGCTGGTTGGCGAGTGGATAGCAGATTCTCCCTGAGGCCTGCCGGCGGTGCCCAACCCGAGCTGTTATATACTGGGGCACGGTAAAGGAGCGTTGCTATGGTGCAACAGCTGCGGGGAAAGAAGGCGGTCGAAGTGATATGTGTCCAAATGGGCCCTTCTCTCAATCAGGGTTAAGCTGGCCAGGTAACTCAGCTCCTACTATAGCTAGTGGGCAAGAGGGGTTCAATCGCCAGTTCTGGGAGACGGCGTCTGGACGGGTGTCTCTCGCTGCTACAACCGTTATAAAGGAAAAGGTGGAAGGGGAGGGGGGGGGGAGGGGTAGGGAGAGTAGGGAAAAGATTCTGTGCACGCCAAAGGCCAAAAGGCGGAGAAGCAAGCATTTATCAAGCCAACCATCAGACATCAGAGCATGGCCATTCCCCGGGACCCCAAGGATGGGCCGCCGAGGAATGCACAGTGCCCGCGCCAGGCAAGAAGTACGAGAGAGCAGGGCAGGTAGACTATCCCTCGGCCGGCCCGACACCGTCAAACTCGTGGCCAGTCACGCTAAGCCCGTACTGGAAGCAGCCGAGCTCTGCGATTCGCTGAGAGTGGACCACTTGAACCCGCCAGGAGTGCTGAGCCATCCGGGCACTGGAAGGGCCGAAAATTGGATCCTCCGGCCATGTTCAGCTAGCCCTCGTCCAAGCTGGCCTTGGCGTGTCCGGCTACGGGCTCGACTGTTTCGGACGGGCCAAGAGATAGATTGCATTGGCAGTCAGACAGGAACTGATCCATCTCTCACCACACGATATTTCCCTGATCCCTACCCTACAGTACTCGAGTATCTTCAGGCCTCTCTTGCCCGGGACGAGCAGAATAAACCCTGCGCCCACCCCTCCCCTCCCCCACCGCCGCTCTCCCCTCTCAGGCTTGCCCGCCGCACAAATTTACTCGAGTACCGAACGCACAGCACCGGTACCACAGCAAGCTACTACGGTACTGTACAAACTCATAAACACCTACCCACCCTCGGCGATCACTCGGACAGATGGTTTCGACCAGGTTGAATTATTAGCAGTACCGGTGCATGGAGTGGACCGTGGAAGAGTCCGACGAATAGGAGAGCTCAACGAACAAGCCATACAAAATGTCTTGGCGAACGGAGGTTTCGTTGAGTAACTTTATGGCTTGCATTACTCGTACACTATCATACAAGTGCCGGCCTTCCATGGACAATCCTCCTCGCTGGGCTCGATCCATGGCCCACACTATTGATCCCTTTTTCTCCCCTTGGGACATGGTCCTATGGCCGGTAAGCCAAATTCGCGTAATCGGCCACATCCAGCGCCCTCCACTGCTCCCGGCCCGCAGAGCAGCGAGCCCATCCCATTCCGTGGCCTCCGATTGAGCGAGCGAGGAGCTAGGGGACGCCCACTGCCTGCAAGCAAGGCGTGGCAATTGCCCGATGTGTGCCTGTGCGACCACCCGGTCTCCGAATTATGTAATACGGCGACCCAACCTCAACTCCAAAGGGAAAAGGAGAGAGGAAAGGGAGGAAAAGCCACCTGCAGAGCCAAAGACGTAGACCCACACGAGCGCCATAACACCGGCGATATACCGGCACTCGTATCGCGCCCGCGCACACGGAATCTACACTTGCAATTCGACGAAATCTCCAAACCTTTAAAAGCCAGCGTCCAGATCCCTCACCTTCCCCTCTCATCCTTTCCCCTCCAGTGCCGACATCTCATCCCCGCGCCGCACCCCCCATCACATCCCACCATAATCCACCCCTCTGCGGGCACTGACAGCCGAGTATTAGCAAAAAATGTGACAATCGGCTCGCCATCATTTTCCAAGAAGGTCTCCAATAAACGCCACAACATGTACAGATCCAATTGCGTGCACTCGATTGCCCATAAGATGAGGGAGGTGGGATGGGTGGGGACGCTACCGAGCAACGACAAGACGCGACTCATCGCCACCATCCAATTGGGCCCGGCAAAGTCAGAAGATCAAGAAAATTGGCGGGATAGACGAGAGAGGAGGAAGCGTTGGAGCTTCCACCATTTCTCTCATCCTCTCCCACCCCCCCCCCCACAAAAGCTAGAGCATGATACCGGTATTACTCGAGTATATGATATAGACCTCCTACCAGAATTCGCGGGCGATTTTCAATGAGATTCTGGAGTTTGGAGTGCCGTATCACAAATTAAGTTCTTGTGGCAACTTTGAAAAGTTTTTATGATCCGAACGGAACCGAAGAAAAAGCAGAAAAAATCCTGCCCTAGACAGATGCAGTCATTGACCAAAATTTAATAAAAAAAAGAAAAGAAACACCACCACTACCACAGGGCAAAGCTTCGCCATAAAGACGACCGACTCTGGACCCCCAAAACCAACGGCCCTTCCAGGATTCCAAAAAGAAAGAAAACAGAGGACAAGAGAGGAAAAAAAATCCGGACATCTTCGTTAGATCAGATTGCAACATGGCCAGATGGGTGTCTGAGGCAGGGGGAATCTTTTTTTTTTTTCCAACCCCACCCGGATCGCCAAGAGTTTTTAAAGTTGGAATACCGTAAGGGTAAGTACGAGTGCCGGTACTTGGAGCGAGAAGTTGATACCGGTGCGATACCAGGGCCAGCGCACAAGAATTCAGAAAATGTTGGGCACAGAGGGGGAGCTGCTCTCGCCTGGTCACCTGAGCACTCCATTCTCTCTCACCCCAAGCGCGGGCAACTCGAGCTAAAATTGAAAAGCGAATGGGAACATGCACGGCTGGCGCCGAGATAAAGTTCGGCACGATGGCCTGCGCGGAGCCGGGACCGTATCCTCCTCCCATGCCATACCATCGACATGACCTTCTAGTACCGAAAGTCGCCACCCGCAACTCATACAGTACAAGTACTACCCGTAGTACTTGTACCATGCACCGCGCCAATCTTCCCCCTACCCCTAACTTACCTCCAAGCGACCTCTAATCGAATGGATGCCCCTCCTCCCCCACCCACGGCACAGCTGCTCGAGTTCCGGTATCATAGGCGAACACGGCATCGATATCGGCACCGGTGCTCGAGTGCCCGCGCGACCGAGCCGAAGTTGGACACCAGAAACGGAAATTGATCGACCGGCCAATCAGGCAACAGCATTCCCAATGCACTCGAGTATTTGGCTCACGGATCCTAGATCGCCAGTGTCCGCCTCAACTCTGCTGCGCGAGCACCGCATCTCTCTTTAAAAATCGGGTTCGCCCTGAGGAGGACTTGCCCCACTTGCCCTTCGGTGCTCGCTTAAAATGTGGCGATCCGGGAGCCCTCTCGCCCTCTGGTTGGCTCGGTTTCCCTTAGCTCCGATCCGACATTTACGACTATCTTACTCTTACGAAAAGACTACTCGTACCGCACCGTGCAGCACGGCGAGCTACCGTATTGTGCTCCCCCGGTGCCGCAGCCCCCGCAATGCATCAAAAGCCACCATAATTTATGTGCCGTACTCAAGTGCTCAATCCATCACATTGGGGGGTTCAATGAGCAGGGGGGACTCAGCGAACAGTATCACAAACTGGTACGAGTACCGGTACTAGTACCAGTACGATACACTACTAGTAAAATTCTCTTGGCAAATGCTGGTTCTGTTTGGTTCTGTTGGTCGACACCTTCCCCCTTGTCACTCGTAATCCCTAACCAAACTTTGGCCAAAAAGCTCCATGTTGGAACATTGATCCCCCTCCCCCTCCCCTCCCCTCCCCTCTTCCCGGGGCTGATCCGATGTCCACAAATTAGGCCTTTTCTTCCCAGGCAGAGAGGGAGATAGGACCCCGTAGAGCACTTTTTATCGAGATGCGCCGGTAACATTGCGACGTTTGTGAAACGGACCATCATACGATCGCACAATACCACTGAAAAAATGAAAAAAAAGCCGAGGCTCCAGCCAATCCCGGCCGTATGCAATAACAATCCGTTTTATCACAGCAGAAGAAAGTCATGACATTGTGGGTAAATGCAAGTGTGAAAAGAAAAAAAACCGAAAAAAAAAAAATAAGATTGCAGATTGCAGCGTGCAGCATGATACCATGCAGCAGATCTTTCTCCCGGAGTCCATTTCACTTTCGGGGGTTGGGGTATATTGTACGGTACGGTACCCGGGTTCCCTCCCCCATCCATCCATCCATTCATCCATTCATTTATCCATGCGGGTTAGCATTCGAGCTGACGATGAGGTCCGATATGGTGAGAAGCGTCTGCTCGAGCGATAAAAATGTGTATTACTACACGTACCACAATATTATCTATCATATCATACCTGGGTGGGCGCACTCCTGCAATGCCCGAATTTGAAATGGTCAAGGGTTTCAATTAAATGCACAAAATATCATGCTATGATACCATACATAAATATTATTATAGAGTATAATGGGTTGTTTTCAATCCACTAGTAACATATCTAGTTGAGTTGAGACCTCGGAATAATTCTTTTTAAAGGGTTGATGATATATAGTTGGTATGATGGTATGATAATAAAAAAATCAATAGAGAAATATCACAACTGAGTATGATGGGCAATCTAATCCAATCTAATCTGCGTTAAATTTCGTGATGTGCGAATTTCACCTTTGAATTTGGAAATGAAAAAAAAAAACAACCTTTTGCCCTCTTCAGATTCGGGCATTATCAGATCATGCGAAAGTGCACACAACCCACGTATGGTATGATATGTATGATACTCGTACACGTTCTATCATATCATGGACGCTTCGCACCATAACATACTGTACAAGTACGAGTATCATACCGTTCGTGTCCGGGTTCGCTGGAATAGGGATGGATCCGTCAGGTTGGTGATGCATTCCGGGGGCGGCGGGGGGGGCGGGTGTGGCGCCTATACGGTACGATACGTATACAGTATCCTACCGGTTTACCCTCTACCATGGATGGATCTATGATATCGTATTATACAGGCAGATATCATACAGACAAGTATGATATGATAACATCAGGCACCGAAGCACGAGCGCCACCATCACGCCGGCGTATAACAAGTATAAAACCGAGTGCTATGATACCGAAACTCCACCGTATCCTCAACCTCGAATCTTGAATTGCGACCAAAGCCGCACGCACCGTACTACGCAACCAGGCCGGGGACTTTCTTTCTTCCTTTATATGTTGTGCGGTGCCGTAGTTACAGTTACCGGTACTTGTATCATGGTTATGGTCACCGTACTCGGAATTACACCAGAGTCCCTTGCCCATCATTCCATAACCGCGCGCCATTCCCGCGCTTTTCTATTTCTTCATGGTATGATATGATATGATGTCAGCACGGATAGGCACTCACTTTTGCCCTTTCGGTGATTTCTCTCCTTCTTTCTTTTTTTTTAAAAAATAAAAATAAAAATAAAAATAATACACACCGGTGGGCCTCCGTGAAATATCACTCGACTCGACCCGACTCGATTGATCAGAGGATGGTGATGATGATAGTCCAAGGAACCCCCAAAAAGGGGGGCTTTGAGGCCATAAAAGAGGAAATCACCCCTGGAGTCGAGTTTTTCCACTATCGTACTGGTATCATACCGGCTGTCCCCCCGACTTGAACGTTTCATATAGCCCTTGCACAAGACTAACGATTCCTTCGAAAGTTATATACAGAATGTCAGGAACCTGAGCCATGCCAACACGCGTTAAGCTGTAACGTTAGGTTCTATATATCCCACAAAGTCGGCTTGCTTTCCAGACATTGCTGCAAGAGTATGATAATATGGCATTGTCCCGACGAGTTTCTCGGAGAAGATTGGGGGCACCGGTAGGGGAATCCGTTATCTGCGCGCAGTTACTCTGTCCAGGATATATCCGAGAGCTTTTCCAATCCAGCCCCCCGCTCTGCAACCTTAAGTGAAACCCGATAACAATTGATGCCTTTTCAAGGATGCTTAATTCTGCCATTGGTTCACTCCCACATAAAATCATTCCCCCATTTCCCAATGCAATCCACCAATAGGGGACCCCGCATGTTTACCATTGCTAGCAGATTCTGCTTCACGGCCCGTCCCAGGCAGGATTCCTCCGCCTCTGTTATAAAAATGAACCTTCCATGCTTCGCGGAAATCATATCCAATACAGAAAGTTCCCCTGCGCCTCCTGTCTCAGCGTGTGTAGAGAGAGAAAACTCATTCTCGCCGCGTAACAGCACAGTGAGGCGTCTGGTATTGCGTATAAAATCTCTGAGCACTAGACCATATCGGACCATATTGGGCCAATAGTCGCATATATCGGATGGCTAACGCCCGACTCTTTGGGGCGGGATCCCTTCCGGTATGATCCCTCAATCAGAAGAAATTCGAATGCGGGATCGCATACCTTTTCCCTAGTGTTAAAGATGGAATTCTGGCTCTATCCATCATTCGCACTTCCTAGCATTCTATCAACCAGTATTCCCTTGAGCAATCGAATTCAAAGGCCCGGCCTTTCCTCAACTTGTGAAATGCTCATGTTGGGATGAGGCGTATTCCGCTTCGGTTTTCGCCTGCTTCTGGTCCGCGTTATCGTCACCCATCGTGTTCGAAATGGCTGTCCGTCGGACCTTATTGCGGTCAAACCCTGCAGATATTCGTAGATATCCACTGGCGGCTTGTGGTTAGTAGCATTGCCGATCACTGATTGCCGAATCGAAGTGTTGAAGGGTGGGGGCTAGAATCAATCAAGGTAGTAAATCATGTGTCGGTGCAGGTAGCTGTATGATATCACCTTTGCTTCCCAAAGGCTCAAGTATGATACAAGCGTGCATTCGCCACACCTTGAGCTACCGGCACCCCCCAATTCCCTAGCCACAAGAAACTTTATGGCTTCTCCCCTCTCTCCTAGACCAGTCCCACTCCCCACCTCAGCATATCGGGAGGAGCCGCAGGCACTGCCTCGGCGGGACGGCATCTGGTTCGCTAGGTTCTCAGCACCACTACGGCCTCGGACTAATACGGAAAGGGGTTTCTCCGAAGAGGCACCTGATAGGCGGAGTATTAGAAGTCTCAACCCTAACCAAGTATCAAAGAAGGGTCCAGAACCCAAGTATAACGAATTCTAATGAAACGAGTAAAAACCCGCCCACACAGTATCCGCCCACCCCTCTACTTGCTCTGAGGGGGGAAACCCATCCCTTTATAATATCTACGGACTGGGGACGCCCAGCTGTCCCTCGGAACCGCGCTTGTCCGCAACATGCAGCGCGATTGTGTATGCCATCACAAGGCCATTACCGTGCCGGCAGATTGAAAAATTCCTGCAGTCCCTGTCAGTTTCTGAGGCATAGATGACCAAGGAGAGGCTCTACTCTCTAGCTACTGTATGATACCTTAGTCTTCCTCGGTCATTTATCAGGGTAAGTTAGGCGTGATTATATAACTAATATCAGCTATGGTCTGGAGCCTGCACACCTGCGAAATTTTTGTTATTGCTTACGATATTAGCCTCCATTCCAAACACTGGCCGAGGCTGCACGTGACCCCCAATGTCTTGCCAGTCCAGGGGATAAGAAGCAGGAGCCACCTCTCCTCCCGCCTTTCCCCCCACATCTCCCGGGTGCTGCGCTGATAAGTAACTCCATGTCTGATCCAAAATTTCATCCAGGGTGCCGGCAGCGAAACATGTTTCTCCCTCGAAACCGTGTAACCCGTATTCATTAGCGATGGCGAGCTTCCGACAGGCAACGGAAACTAAGAAACTGCAGCCTAGGCATATGCACAAGTATTCAGACCCGCCATGCCCAGGTGCCCAATAGATCCACTCCCCGGTGCCATGGATGCGGATGGATTTCCCCACAGCCCCCACATGTGCTGATAGCTGATCATAGCTCCCTGTGCCCGAGTGACACGCGTTCCAGTGCGATGGAAAGATTTTCTTGAGCTAATCCTAGAGGGGCCGCTGCTAGAAATCTAGGTTCTACTACTTGTGCCGCAAGGTAAATAGAGGCCGCTGACCCCCTTGATGCCAGACCCCCTTTGGGTACGATATGCCCTGAAAGGCTGGAACTCGTGGGGCTGGAGGGCAAATTCCTTAAGCGAGTGGCATAAAACGATACCTCGCGGCCGATGAGCTACCAGTATCTCCCTATAAATGATCGCAGGGCGAAATCAGAAGAGGTCAATATACACATACGGGTTGCCCTAGCGCACGAGTCGCGCCAAGTGTCAATCTAGGATGGGCCGCAGGAGTGGACGGTGCAGAAAGCCCTATCGAGAAGTACAAAAGCCTCCTCCCCGACTGGCTTAGCAGCAACTGATTTGAATCCACACCACCTACGGTAACCGCAGCATCCACTACCGGTACCGTACCCATCTTTATATCTCCCAGCTGAGATCTCATATACCGGTACGGTATCAAACACCAAATGTCGGGCTGTCAGACAAGATGAAACCTCCCACAGAATACCGGTACCCCGCACCCAACAGTAATTTAGATTCGGCACCTCGCCCCCCGGCTCCCCCCGGCATATAAAGCGTTTCATAGAAACTAAACCTCGCAGCCCCCCCTCTCCCCGTCACAGCATCTACGGCAACCAGGTCGGATAAGCGAGTATCATGCTGTGATGATGACAGGGCTGTAGCAAAACTTCCCCTGAATCCGTGACCGTGGGAAGGGTACCGGTAGGCTTGCAGGACATGGTAGGGACCATGATACAAGCGCATCGGGGCAAGGGACATCTCGAAAGGGAGATATGTAACTGGACCCCGATATAAGCCTGATGGAGTTATTGACTGTACCGTATATGCGCGTTTTGTCGATAATACAGTATCCATATGCGGATGACCTTCGGCAAGGATTCCAGCGAGATTGGAGAGATTTCCCAGAGAGGATTTCGGCCCAACCGTACCGTAAGTTACCGTGCTTGTACCATACGGTACGGTGCTGGTAAAAGCGCAGTGCAGACACTGCTTGCTACCGCCGAGATGCCCGGGCCTGGGTGTGGCGCTGCTGGGGCTACGAACAACGTCAGCCCCAAGCTATAACTGAACCCTATACTTAAAACTTTTGGTTCGTGTGTTGGCCGCGTGTCTGGCAAGCCACCGTACTCGAGCAGCGCCCTACTGTGCCGGTGTGTGGGCAAGGCTGAAGCTTTCAGCTTCACGTTGCAGGACAGCGTTTCCATCGAAGGCCAAGATGCTGCGAGTGGGTTGGGTTGGGTGGTGGTGGGCCGGACGCTTAACTTATGCTGCGGGAATAAAGCTATTTTTGTTACAAACCGAGGCTCCTGGGCCGAATAAGGATAGCTAGTTACTAGGGGAATTTTGAGTAACCCATCGTAGATCTACTACGGTACAGTATCGTACCGTACCGGAAGTGTGATATCGACCAGGAAAAGAAGGTCGGACCCGGAGCCTCTGGTTGGGGTTGGAAGAGGGTTTTTCGGTTCGCTGTGATGGTTGTCGACGTTGACAGGCTTGGGGGAACAAGCAACAAGGGTTACTGAAAGTGAAAGCACAGAACGAGACATGCAGTACCGGCATTTGGTGCGGGCCGTTTCCGGTAGCTGCAACCCGAGAACAACATACGAGTAAGAACCATTTGCAGGGCCCACTCCCCCCCACCTTCGAGCTTTCGTGACGCACAGATTTTCTGTGGATCGGACACCGGTGGGATATTACAGTACTCGAGTATGTTCACTGGCTGACTACCCGTAGCATACCGGCATCCCTCCACCCATCATCGTCACCAAAGGTACCGTGATATGGAGGGGGAAGTGGAAAAGGAAAAAGGAAAAAGGAAAAAGGAAAAAAAAAAAGGAAAAGTGTGAAAACCTGTTCTATGCATGTTTCTGCGATTGACAGTAGCTGTCTCTCGATATCTGCATGATACCCCCCGGCGGCGTTGCCCATGCCCTCTTGACCCTAACCCACCAGAAGCCATTTTCCGCGCCCACCGCACTGTCCCATGCCCAGCAATTCCCAATGCCATCGTATCGTGGAAATGCTGCCGCATTAAATTAATCCGCTAGTATCACGGAAGCCAGACCAGGATTCCCGTTCTGATATTAAGGTTTTCCAACCCTGTTTAAATGTTCCAGCCCCTACGAATGTGTGATTGCGGTACCGGTATGTGTTTGTAGGTGTGGATTGGATCTGTAACGTTAGATTGCTATGGAAGCAGTAGTGGCACAAGTTGTGCTGGACACCCACCGGTGCCAATATTGCCATCGTTGGCTGTGGGGTTGGTTACGAGGATGGCTTCTTTTGCTTCTTTTATATACAGTACTTTCTTTCTTTCTCTTCGTTCGCCTGCTGGCCGGGGGGAGGAGTTCGACAGGGCTAAACTCTTCCCGGTCTCGTCATTTCGATAACCCTCGACACCGCCACAACACTCACTCTCAGAGAACCACATCGGTACCATACTCTTGTGCGCTGGGAGATCAATCGATCCCCTCCCCAACATTCGCCGACGACGCAGGGCTCAGTTACTATGCCAGCATAGAACGGGAGACATTGAGTCGAGACTAGGGGATTGCTCTCACGGTTGTTGTTGTTTCTCTCAGCCCGATCAACAACCCCTTGGGCCCTTCTCTTCACCAACTCTTTCACCCCCCTTCCCTTCCCTTCCTTTCCCCACTCTTGGGATCGTAGTTCCACATTTCCTTTCGTTGTTTCCCTTTACCGTCGTCGGCGCCACAGTACCCTATCGTGCCCTCTCGTTCTCTCGGGGAGGAGGAGGAGCTGGGTATAACCTGCCGGACCGCTGTCGTCTTGCTGCCCCGGTCAACTTTTCCTTCCGCCCTGCCGCCTCCTCGGTTCTGGGGCTCGTGTGCTACCTGCTTGGTGCTTCCGCCGGCTTGTTCTGCTTTGCTCTATTGGACCTGATCCGTGTTCACTCAACCAAGAATCCGTACCCGTATAATACCAGTCAGTATCTCTTCTCCTCCTCCAGCCCCAATCCAACTCCAACTCCAACCCAAACCCCAACCCGGGCGCCGCATTAAAATACCAACCCCCCCGTTCCCGCGCCCGTGTTGCTTGTGTGAAGCACCGCAGAAGGGGTGAATTTATAGGAGACTCACTTCACCAAACCCCTTCCCAATCTATTGCACCCCTTATCTCCCGCCGGCGGTCGCACATCTTTTTTTATTTTATTTTTATTTTTATTTTCACTTCCTTCATAGTTCTGGGGCCGACCGGGGAAAAAATTTAGCGACACCGGGGCTAGTTTCTTCTTCTTTTCTTTTTTCTTTCCTTTTTCTCTTTCTCTTCCTCATCTGGGAACGGGTCTGCTGCTAGCATCTTGGAAAGGGTTGCGGTTGTCGTCGCCACTAACTAACCAACCTTTCCCACTACCATATTCCCATACATACTCCTCCCGAAAATATACACACATTTTCCCCCGTCTTCATCATCATCATCGTCACCGTTAGCATCATCAACATCTGTCTTCTCATCACTGTTCATTCATCACACGTTGGCGCTATTTTGAGCTCACACTGTGGTCCCTCGCTTTCTTGTTGCAGTGTTCTAAACGCGCGTAGTTTGCCTCGCCAGGGATAATCTTCGTTCACCTCCCATACATACATTGGCTTTGCAGGATCGAGCCTCATCGCGCCAACTGACGCCCACCCTCACTTCAAGCAACCCCTCTTACACGTCAACTCCATCACTTCCACAATAGTTGCCGACCCTTTGTATCGGCACTCCACCTAAACGAAAGGAGTTTCAGACGATTGTTAGGCGACGAGGAGAAAAGGCTACGATACCCTTTCGTTGCCGCGCTTCCTCGTCGTCCGATTACCGGACTTCCGCCAATCTAATCAACATGGCCCTTTCTGTACCTAATCCGCCCACGACACCGCGACGAGTAAAGGTGTATGAGTTGCGGAACAATGATTGGTTTGATCGGGGAACTGGGTATTGCACGGGACAGCTGGTTAATGTAAGGACTGCCCACTTATAGGCGTGACGAGTTATCGTGACGGGGACTTGCTTTGTTTTTTTTTGTTTTTTTTCCCCACCTCCGCTGTTTGGTTCCTGCATCATGGCAGTCTTATGGGCAATGGAGTGGCTGATATACGTGGCGCACAGGACGAACCACATATACAAGTGAAATCAGAAGAGGAGCAAGATCGTATGCTGTTGGAAACGAAGATAATAAAAGATGATGGATATCAGAAACAACAGGGTATGTTCGGCTTGCCTCTTCTTTTCCCATGCCGTTTGTGGGGAGCTTTGATGCGTTGTTACAAAAATTTCCCCTGTCCCTCGGACGGGCTACTGACATCTACCCAGAAACCTTAATTGTGTGGACAGAGCCACACGGCACAGATATGGCTTTGAGCTTTCAGGAACCAGAAGGTTGTGCCGCGATATGGTACGTCTCCTCTCCGCGCCTCTTCTTGTCGGACTTTATACTCACCGCATTTTGCAACAGGGAGTTTGTGAGCCATGTTCAGAGCCATCTTCTGTCGATATCGGGAGCGGGTATGCACTTCATCCATCCCTTCTTGCAAATAAATGTTCACATGTATGCTGATAGATACAGATGAAATACTCTCAGACGATGCGAACGAAACCCTCATCAGTTCGGTGATGCTACCTTCCCCCGAACTGGGGAATCTCACTGAAATCGAAGCTATGATCCGATCGGCAAGCTCAACAGCCCAGGCCAGAGATTCCCTGGGGAAATTCGTCCTGAGTGAGGATTTCATTCGAAAACTCATACCGCTGCTTGAGGTGGCGGAAGATCTGGAGAGTCTGGAGAACCTGCATCGGCTGTGCAATATTATGAAGATGATAATTTTGCTGAATGATACGCTGATCATCGAGCATATCGTCACGGACGAGGTCATATTTGGGGTTGTAGGGATCTTGGAATGTGCGTATCTGTGATCTGCCGTGTAACAGCCCCCCTAGTGCTAACCACCCTTGACCGCAGACGATCCAGATTTTCCAAGTCACAAGGCTAACCACCGGCAATTTTTGTCCGATACGTCCAAGTTCAAGGAGGTAGTGCCGATCAAGGACCCAGAAATCAAGAAGAAGATCCATTGGACTTACCGATTACAATACTTGAAAGATGTTGTTCTTGCTAGGATTCTTGACGACCCTACCTTTTCGGTGCTTAACTCTCTCATCTTTTTCAACCAGGTGGATATTTTGCAGCACCTCCAGAGCAACCAGGCGTTCTTGAAGGAGCTCTTCTCAATCTTCCACGCTGCGGAGTCGGAACCGACACAGAAAAGGAATGGTGTTTTGTTCATTCAACAATGTTGTTCAATTGCAAAGAACCTTCAGGGACCTGTAAGATCCCAACTCTACAACCACTTTATCCAAAACGGACTCTTTGCTGTCATAGATTTCGCGCTACTCCACGACGATGCTTCCGTCCGCATTGCGGGTACGGACGTTTTGGTGGCCATGATCGATCACGACCCAGCGATGATGCGAGCGTTCATCTTCCGACAAATCAGCGACAAGCAAAAGCCATTGACGGACACCCTGATTGAATTGCTGTTGGGAGAGCAGGACCTGGGAGTAAAAGCGCAGATCGCGGACGCTATCAGAATCCTGCTTGACCCCGCTACGGGGCTGCAGATCGAGGGACTTGGAAAGGCTAGTGACATAACCTCGCGGTTGCATCCTCGAAATCATAATGCGGACCGTGAAACTGAGAATTTTTTGAAGACCTTTTATGACGACTCCGCCAAGAAACTATTCCTCCCCTTGTCAGAGCTTGATAGCAGGAAGTCACGTACGTTACCCTTTGACACCCAGCGATTGTCAAACCAAGTTGGCTGAAGTTTTGTTGCAGTGAAAGCCTTGTCAATGGCAGAAGTGTCGTTATTTTCCCATCTCGTGGATACGCTATGTTTCTTTGTCCGACAGCACGCATTCCGAGGAAAGTACTTCCTTCTGGCAGAGAATCTCCCCTCGAGGGTTGCGCAGCTGCTCCAATCGCCTGAGAAGCATCTGAAACTGTCAGCACTGAAGTTCTTCCGAACGTGTGTTGGTTTACAGGATGAGTTTTATATCCGGCATATGATAAAATGGAAGCTGTTTGGGCCGATACTGGGCATCGTTATCGATACCATGCCGAGGGACAACCTGCTGAATTCTGCCTGTCTCGAATTCTTCGAGTTCATCAAGAGGGTATGAGGGCTCGTTCTATCCTACAGATTTCACCACAGAAACTAACCAAATTATCTGTCACAGGAGAATATTAAACAGATAATTGTCCATTTGGGCGAGAATTATCGCGATCGAATGAAGGAGATAACCTATGTTGACACTTTCAATATGTTAATATCGAGATGCGAACAGCTGCATGATACAACCATGCCCTCATCATATGTTCAGGAAGACAAGTCCATCAGGTATACATCCCCAAGCCCCCGAGCTAGCAACAGTGTATACCGGGTCAATTGGGCCTGGGAAATCTTGGTTAGGAAGAGGATATTGACTATCAACTAGGAATCATGTCAACGGTGCCAGAAGGTGGCAGGGTGTCAAGGATATGGATGCTGCCGAGGAGGAATATTTCAATACTTCTGATGATGATGAGGATAACGCTCCGGCACCCAAGGATAGCCCTATTAAGGGCGCTAACGGAAATGGATCGCCGGTGCCCAAACCACTGGTTGACTATGCAGACGACGACCCAATGGATACTGCTGATGAGAGCAAACCCGAGGATAAAAGAGGGGCTGCTGCATCGGCCAAGTCAGCGCCCGAAGGAGCTAGTCCGGCAACCTCCCCTACCACCCCCACTTCGCAAAGGTCTGATGGCGATGTGCCTTCTGGAGCGCCCACACCCGAAAGGTTATCGGAGAAACGAAGGCGCGAGGAGGAGGATGATGATGAGCTCGGAAAGTTGCGGAACAAACGCCGCAGCCCTACTACTAGTGGTGGGAGTGCAAATACCCTGACCAAGAAGCGCAGTTCCGGGCCCGGCGGCAGCCCACCTACTAAAAAGATAGCGATAAACCTGGCCGTCAAGACAAGTACAGGAAGTGGCGACGGTGGTGGTGGGGAGGTCATCGGGGATGGTGGTGAAGCGGATAACGAAAAATAGATGACGGTGAGGGATAGGCGATGGATAGTGCAGGGGGAGTTTCATGGCCATCTTACTTGCTGATCAATTCTTATTCTCAATCTAGTTCCCTTTCCCTGGTCTTTGTTTGCATACGGATTCCCGCCTATTGCCCTACTATTTTCGAGCTTTTCGCCTTTCCTTCCTTTTTTTTTTTTTTTTTTTTTAATATCATACCTAACCTTGGCGTATCTGATTTTAGTGATTGCTTCTCTTCTACCATATCTATTTTTTTTATATTTTTTTTTCTAAAAAAAAAAAGCTTGTTCACCTCAGGAGGAAACGCAATGTCCGGAGGGCCTTATTTCTGGGAAGGGGCTAGGTCTGGAGGAAGGGGGGGGGGGGGGGGGTGAATTGGAAAATCACATGTAGAGATGGGAGGAACGAAATGGGCGGGAAGGGAAAGCCTACTCTGTACGATAAAAGCCGTTTCTTCTTGTATCAGGGGGTTCTTTTCAAAAGGGTTTTTTTGTACATTCTTCTCTTCCCCTAACTTTCTATACCTTTTCTTCTGTATTCTTCTCTAGGGCAGGGAGAATGAAAGAAATAAAGAGAGGGGGGGGCCTCCACTTGACGAGGGATTATTATTTTTTTCTTTTTCCTTTCTTTGGGCTCACCGTATTAACGACGAAAGACCACCGGAACATGGCTGATATTGGAGGGGAGGGAAAGGAAGAGGAAACGGTAAAAAGAAAGACATTATATATTCGAAGACGATGTCATGATCCTGCCATTTTTATATTTTCTATGGTCTATGATATATGTTGCGTTTTTTTATTTTTATTTTTATTTTTATTTTTATTTTTATTTTGCTTCGCTTTACTTTACTTTTCTTCTTTCCTTCCTGAACGCTTACTACGATAGGATTTCTTTCCTTCTTCCCTTCTTTCTCGTGTGTATTCTCCAGCTTTCCATCCGCAGGTGGAGAAAGGGAAAGAGGGGGTTGGGTTTTTTCCTTCTTTTTTTCTAGAGAAAACCCGAAATTGTACAGTAATTGGTATCATATCCTACTACAAAAGTTACCACTCCTCGCGTACCCGCAAGCATGATATATTCCCTTGTCGCAAGAAGGGCTACTCTGTCGCTTTTATGATAGGCTTTGGCTGGTGGACAGTTGGATGGAGAGTGTCCCCTGAGGCCTATCTACCGGTGCTTCAGTGCCTATCGGACTACTTGATCGCATAAAGCTGTTACGTGCCTCGTGGGTGCATGGACAAGGCAGCGAGTTATAGTTATGACACTTGCGAGTCAAACGGGCGGTCTGCCGGTATCCTTTCCTGCTCAACCATCCTTTTACAGGCGTAGATATACCAGAAGTATGATATGAGTATAAGTTACTATCAGGAGCAGCGGAACCGTGAACCAGGCATAATAGGATACAGTACTCGAGCATTAAGAAGGCCTCGAATCCCGCCCAGGGTGTATCCCGGTAGTATCGTAACCTAATATCATAACCCGGACTTGATCCTCGAGAGTTAATCAGATGGTAGACTACCGTACTATGTAGTCTACCGGTAGAGGAATACCGTAACGGAGCACTAAATACAAACACATGTGCGACACACGATCCACCCGAAATCTCCTTTCTCTTCAAGCCCGAGTTGAGCCCAGGTATGCTCATGTTGAATATAATTTGCACTGTACCGTACTGTGAGCACGGTAACTCATCACATTCGGGATTAGCAGTCACCTCCACCATATCGTACAGTATGTATCCCACAGTTACAGTACAGTACCGTAAAGGATGTCGCGATTCGAACTTCCCTCCACCCATCCATCCTCCGACGAGTATTCCATCCCCATCTCATCGCAATTTCCCCAAAATCTCATGCTTTCGCCAAATTTCCCCACTTGCGTCGATTGATCGTCGCCCCTCCCTACCGTACGGGTACGGTACTCCTCATTTCGGAGAGAGCTCGGAATTGCGTCTCACTGCACGACAGCGGCAATAAACCATTAAGCCCTGCCCCGCTTGCCAGCATCCCCCTACCTCGTTGATATTATATCCGCCGTACGAGTAAGAGCATCTACCGGTACCCCATTCATGTTATCCGCAGGGTGCGATTCGCCGGAAATAGAAAATGGCAAGATAAGAAGAAGAAGAAAAAAGTGTATCACCGGTACAGTACGAGTCCCATGCGACTTCTTCTAATCTTTATTCCCATTTTCATTTTTTGTCTCTCTTCCACCGTCTGCGGGCACTCGAATACTGTACGAGTACCGTGCTGGTATGCTATGTCGATCTCGGGGCTTTTTGCCACATAATTTGTGTGGCGATTACTTTACCTGTACGAGTAGTTTTTTTGGAGAGCGGTTTTGGGTGGGGTCGATGGGAGGAGGGAATGAAAATAACGCTTTTCGTGTTTTACCTTATGCCACTTTACTCCGGGAGCTCGCCCATTGGGCGGTGGTCCACCGGTGCTGACTATCATTTCTGAAGGATGGGAGAGGGAGGGCAGGAGAGTTGAGACGTATCAGACGATCATGGCCTTATCGACATGGCAGCAGGGGGGGGAGGAAAAAAAGAAAGGAAACCGACCCAAAAACCGCATGTCAATAATTACCGTATTTGCTGATAAAGGAGTGAGGAGTGGAATGGGGAAATAAAGTTACTCGATGATTACGGTGCCACAGAGGAGAGGGATCGAGCAGCTTTCTGCCCCCATTTCCCTTTCCTCTCTTCCTCTTCCTCTTCCCGTCTTCCTGTCGTACTTGTACCTTACTCCCACCCTTCCCTCTCCCTATGGTACTCTTCCCTACTATACCTTATCGTCTTTTCTTCTTCCCCCCACCGTGCCGCACCTCTCCCGCTTCCTCATTCATAACGGCAAAGAGTTAGGTTGCCCTTTCGCTTCACAAACCTTCCCCTCCCTTACTCCCTCCACCCAGCCTTATCCGCCCACAAACAACAACCCACCCCCGAACCCACCGAATGGGAGCCCCGACAACCCAACCAACGCATCCATGAACCCGGGACAAATCACCCCTCGAGACTCTGAACCCGAGGCCAACCACACCTACCCCGGTGATGACGGGTGCCAAAGGGCGAAACCGACCATCAACGGTGTGCCGAACGAGATCCTTGAGCAGATACTGGGATACCTGGAGGCTGCAGACCTGGCGCGCGTAGCCAGGGTTTCCATCGGTTGCTGTGGGGTTAGTACGCCGTTGTTGTATCGCGAGCTTAGGTTTGATCCATATGCGTACCGGGAGTGTCAGTTGAGGGTGTTGAAGAGGTAGGTGGGTTTCTTGCGGGTTTCCTTTTCCCTTATTGTTTTTTCCAAAAAGGTACGGGGCATTTGGCGTTTCTTTGTAGGCGAGGGGAGGTTTATGCGGTTGGTGGTGGTAAAGTATGGTAATGGGGAATGC